TTTTTTAAAGTGGTCCCTTAAGGTTTTTTTTGAGTGGTCACTTAAGGAGAAAGAGACACAGCCGAAATGATGCCACATGAGGGGTTTTTTCAAAGCGGTCATTTAAGAATTTTTTTTTTCAATGATCCCTTCAGGAGAGAGACACAGGGATGGAGCGAAGCCAACCCTTTTTTTCTAGAACTAAAGAAAGTCCAAAAAAAAAAATGCTGCCCTCTTAAAAATCCCCAAAAAATCCTTCCGAAAAACCAAAAAAATCAACATTTTTCCCCTTAATTATCCTGGCTGTCGTCCACAATTACATCATGTCACGCAAGATAATTCTTTCGCGTCCATTTTTTTCCGGCTTTCGCAAATAGTGGTGTTGGTGGGAAATGTCCAGATGGCTCCACGCCAAAAGAGCGCACAAATCGATTAGCACTATAACGTTTCGATTCGTCCATAAAAAAGGACATTTTCTGGGAGAAGCTCGGCTCCTTCGAGAGTGCACGGATTGGATTTCAATGGGGTTTTGTGTTACCGAATTTGGAACGAGGCTAATTTTTCGAGGGAAAATTCTTGAGCTTTTTTAATAGATAAAAAATGATAATTACATGTAACTGTACAAAAAGATTTATGTAGATTCTCAAAGCTCATTGGTCGAAAAAAAGTCTGTTTCTTGAACTTGTCCCAATTCGACCTTGTACGTTGCGAAATCAAGCCAAAATTGATTTAATTAGTGATTGAATGACCTTGTTTCTGAATCGAGAAGGTTTTCTAAGGACTTCATTCGAAAAAGGTCACCGACAAAACTAAAAAACATAGGTACCTAACTATGTCATGAAAAAGGCTACTTTTTTTCAAATTTTTTTCAAATTTTTAAAAAGCCATTTTTGAAGAGAATTCAGATGAGGACGTGAAAAATCATGAAAAAAATCCAGAAAAATAAGGTTACCGTTCCAAATTTCAATTTTGTTTTACGATCAAATCTGATTATCCGTTGTAAGTGTCTTCAGCGCTCCTTAAAAAAAGAACTCAAGGACGAAAAATTGAGATTCCAGGAAAATTTTTGTGTTTTTCTGATACTACTGCACAATATTAACAAAGATGAGGAATAAAAAAATCTGTGATTTCAACAGAATTCTAATTCGGCGCGATACTCTCCAAACAATTTTCAAAAAGAATTGTGGGGGGGCGAAAACTTGAAAATTTCACTAATCCAGGAACTATTGGTAAATTTCTGATACTACTACACAACACTAACAAGGTGAGAAGTGAAAAAAAAATCAGTAATTTCAAAATATTTGAAATTGAATCGATACTTTTCAATCCCATACAGGTTCAAAAAGTTCGAAAAAATACTTGAAGACAAAAACTTGAAAATTTTCCAATTCCAGCAATTTTCAGTGTTTTCTGATGCTAATCCACTATATTAACAAGATGAGAAATAATGAAAAAACAGAAATTTCAACAAGATTCAAATTCGAAGCGACACTCTCCAATAAATTTTCAAGAAGAACTGGAAAAACTTAAAAATTTAACTAATCCAGAAACTTTTCAGATACCGTTTCACAACAATAACAAGATGAGAAGTGAGAAAACTCAGCAATTTTAAAACGAAAAGAAAAACCAACGTGATGACGCCGTCCTGGATCAAGACGTCGGAGGTGAAAATGGAGTCGTCGTTGACGACCTGGGCTCCCTTGATGAGAAGCGACATCGCGCCGTCGCCGTCCCCAGAATTCTTTTTTCCGTCTTGTTGGTCGGTCCGACTCGAGGAGCCACCACCGTCGGCCTCCTCTGCGTCTCTGGCCTCTCCTCTCCCAGCGGCGGGGGACGCGTCATCGCCCCCCTCTGCCGTTGGGCTGCCGCGGTCGGCTTTCGAAATCGGCGACTTCTCTTCCGCCGCATCCGTCGCCACCATCTCCGACTGATGGCCGTCCGGCGCCAACTTCAAAATGCATTTAATTACGGATGCCTCGCGCCGCTGAACAATCAATGGGAGACAATATTGCGGAAAAAATCGCTCATTTTACCCTCTAAAACCTCGGGCAAAGTCGGAATGGTGGATAATGGCCGCCAAAAGGGAGAGGTTCAAAAAAGGCCGCAAAAAGGCAGCAAAAAGGGCCCCCTTATCGAGCATTCCATTTCTTTCTGGAGTTTTAAAGGCTCAAGAAATGATCAAAAAATGAAGAGGCAGCAAAAATGGTGCAAAAGGATTGATGAAATGGCGCAAAAAGGCCCCTAAAAGGAACATTTCTATGGACTCTTTCCGGCTTTTCCTATGACGCTACATGGAAAAAATCTCGAATATGACCTTAAATACAGATTTTCCTTGCCTTGAATCCGTTTATCTACAAAGGATAATGAATAAATAGACGAAAAAAATCATTTTCAAAATTTTCGAAGGCTTGATGACATAAAACAGCACAGAAAACGGCTCTTCGCCTTGAAACCTCAGCTTAAATTCACAGCATGCTCCTTTAAGGTTTCCAAGAAGGCGCATTATTTCACTCAAAAATGGCGTAAACTATCAAGAAATCCAAAACACCTCAAAAAAAAAAATCTTGAAAAATGAAATTTCCTTGACAAAATTCATTAGAGAAAAACTTTTCTTCTTAATTCTTAAAATAAATTATTTTTTTTGAACGAAAATATCAATAAATAACATGAAAAACTTCGATTTTCACCTTTAAAGCTGAAAAAAGAAGAAAAATACTACAAAAAACAGCAAGAATATTCAAATTTTTCAAAAAATTACCTCCTCCTCAGTGATGCCCAAATCGGGTCCCGGCACGCTTTCGTGCATGACATTCCGTTGACTCGTCGAAGGTTCATTCAAATCTTGGCATTCTTCCAAAGCCTCTTGGCTCAACAGGAACTGTTCCGCGGGACAGTTGGGATCGGGCAGCTCTGAAAAAAATTAAAGGATAATTGAAATTCGATGGAAAAGGTCCTAAAAATTGAAAACGAACCTTCATCGGCGCCTTCGTAATACTCGGGACCGGGCTTGAAAATTTGCGAATTTTCGCTCTTTTTCCGGTTGATTCTCTCGTAGCTCTCGAAAAAAATATTTATTAAGTTAATTAAGTGATAAAAAAACCTTATCATTGATATCCAGGTCTTTCAGGCCTCGGTTATGCCAATGAACCTCATTTTCGAGCTCTTTCGAGAAAAGATCCTTCTTTTGAGACTCTCTGGGCGGAGTTGGAGTTCCTTCGGGAGATCCACCGAATAATTCCTTGAAATGGTCGTTTCAAGAGTTTTGTGAGAAAATTAAACATTACAAGCCTTTAAAAAATTTCTTGGCATTAATTAATTTTTTTTAAGCCACGATTCATAAAGATGAGCTCTTGAAAAACCTAAAAAACACGAAAAAATGGCCCTTCGCTTCGAGACCATTTCAAAGTTGAGCCATGCGCCTTCAAACACTCAGCGAAGACTTAAAATGAACCTTCATCGCCGAAGAAACTTCCAGGCCTTTATTCTTGTGCCTAGAGGCGTGTGGTGGCTTTTCTGATGGATACGGTGGAATTGGAGAGGATTTTGCTGAACGGGCTGACGTAGGCTGAAAAATATCGGGTCTTGAAGCGAAAATTTTTTGGCAAACCTGTGAGGAAGCAAGCGGAGATTTTGTTTTTTGCCGGCTTGATGGACGTGAAACGTTGAGACCTTGAAAATTTGAATAATAAGGCCACGAATACTATCAAAAACCTTCATTACTACTCTTATTTGAGCCGCCTGAGATTTTACGAACATTCACAGGCTTTGTTTGGCTGGCTGCCGAGTTGGCACGACTCACAAGAGGTGAATCGGACAGAAATGTCATCTCTACATATCTTATCGTTCCTTGTCTTTCACTAAAAAATTTTTTATCAAATTAACTATTCGAAAAAAATACCAATGATCCGGCTGCAGAATGGGTGCTAAAAATGGAAACATGTCTTGCGATACTCGCCAACTGAAACCCTCCTCTATGTCCACGAGAGAGAAAAAAACTGAAAAATTATTATTAATTCATAAAAAAATTGTAAAAAAACGAGCAATAGACGAAAGTTTTTTTAATTTCAATTTTTATCGAAAAAAAGCGGATATTTCCATTACAATAATATAAAAAAATATAGCTTCTTCCTATATCAGTTGATTGGATGAAAAAAAAAAAAGAGCAGAATTTCAAAAAAAGTCGCGGATGCGCTGGGAAATTTTTTTGTTCCGATACTCCGCTAGTACGCTTTCAGCCGGGCACACGACTCGTGAAATTTTTCTCCATCCATTTTTTTCTTCTCGAAACATTCTTTTTTTAATTGTTTTACATTGCTTTTTCTTCTCGTTTTTAATGTTTTATTTTTAGTATAAACACTTGAAAGATTAGGTAGCCATCTTTGCGAGCTCATGTAGGGGTTCGAAATAGACGAAATTATCCAAATAATGAAACAAGAAAACTTGAAAGAAAAACTTTGTAAAGTTGGCATTGTATTTTTTTGTTTTTTTCAACAACTCAATAATTTTTTTGTAGGAATAGTTCCTAAATTGAAAATAATTTGCTATGCAATAAAAAAATGTTCAAAAAAATATAGTTGATACGGTTCTGTTTCTCAAATTATTTTTATTGTTTTTTTATTGTGGAAAGAGAAGTAAAAAAAGTTTTTTTCGTAATCTATGCATTTTTTTCTATCCTTATCAGAGTTTCAATTTTGAAAACCATATTTTTTTCTGTTTATTTCTGATGAATCAAATTTATTTGCAAATGTTTTTGTCAAATTTTATTCTTTTTAAAATTTCTTCTCTTTTTATTGAATTTTTTTCCAAGAAAGAATTTAATATTTTAATAACAAGTCCAGAATATATTTTTCTCCTGATAGGCTATTTTGAGCGTTTCTTTGGTTGGGAAAGATATGTCATCGGGAAATGAGTCATACATCTGTTTGCTGAAACCGAATGAATTTTGGCCTTATTTCAGGTTTCTAGCATTTTCGGGTCATCGAAACTACTTGTAAATTGTTAATAAACGAGCTCAGGAGTTGATGTCTGCACACGAAGTTTGTTTTCGTGAAAAAACTTTTTCAAAAATGAATTTAAAGGTTTCACAATGTTTACAACGGTCGAGCGCAAAATATGTCGATTCGTCGAAAAAAGACATTATGGGCGCTTTGTCAGAATTCAAAGATTTGTCTCCTGGAACTGACACGTTTATGTTTCCGGATGGGAAAAGAAGAACGGCTTTCCGGTTGAAAGGAACCATTCCTGTGATTTACAAGGTTTTTTTTCCACTTGTTTTCTAGGAAAAATTGTTGAATTTCAGGGCAATAAGTACAATATACCTATAACTGTGTATTTATGGGAAACTCATCCATATTACGCTCCGATTTGTTTCGTTAATCCTACGTCTACAATGGTTATAAAGGTAAGTTGTCAGAAAAAGATTTTTGTTCTAAAATTAATTCTTAAATTGATAGTTTTCAGGAATCAGAAAATGTAAATAAGGAAGGCCGAGTATTTCTACCGTATCTCAACGAATGGCGTTTTCCTGGCTATGATTTGAACGGGCTTTTGCAGGTGAGTATTGTAATTAAAATTGGATAGTATACTAAAGTTAACTATGTCTTTTGAAACGATGCCCATGTCCCTTTAAATGTTTGACCCTTCTCCATATTTTCGTTGCAACTCTCATAGTCTGCTTAAAAATCTTTGCAGTGATGCTTAAAGACGCATAATTCAAATTTAATCAAGGTCTCAAGAGCAAGAGAGTGTTATTTCAGATCATGTAAGACTGCTGTGTCTTAAAAATTATGTGAAACAGACTTTTCGTAATTTTTTACAAAAACTAGTTTCATTTTCATGGTTTTTAAGGTCTTTAGCTCTTTTAGAAACTCAAAAAGCGCATTTTTGCGGCGAATAAAATATTGAGAAGCCTTTTCCCGAATTTGTGATTCTTTTCAGGTCATGGCTATGGTATTCCAAGACAAATGCCCAGTTTTCGCTCGCTCAAACAGTACCACATCGAACTCTTCAACACCACAGCCGCGTCCAATGCCGACGCCAAATCCATCGTATCCCTCGGCTCAACCGGCGAATCCAACGACGCCTTACCCAAGCAGTACACCTTATCCCAACGCTGGCACGAGTGGTTATAAGTGAGTTTTTTTCTTCGCAAAATGAATTTTTAGGGGCTGAGTTCTTTTTGAAAAAATAGGTACTTTTTATTGATTATTTTTTTGATCGTAGAGAGACAAAAACGGACTTTAAAAAATCGATTTATTTTTTTCGGTGTCGAATAGCTTCCTTTCTGCAGTTAAAATTTTTATCCCGAGTAAAAAATATCACTTTTTTTGAAAAAAATAGGTACTTTTTATTGATTATTTTTTTGATCGTAGAGAGACAAAAACGGACTTTAAAAAATCGATTTATTTTTTTCGGTGTCGAATAGCTTCCTTTCTGCAGTTAAAATTTTATCCCGAGTAAAAAATATCATATTAATTCTACAGAGTATTTCAGATGAATCATTAACTTATAATAAACTACTCTATTTGAGAGAGATACTAAATTTAGAAAGAAAAAAACAGGAAAAAAACTTTTAAAAAAACAGTCCTCAAGGTTCTTTAAACTTCTTTTTGAATTTTTTGTGACAGGTTTACTTTTTAAGGTCGAAAAGTTGGGCCTAAAACCCAATTTTTAGCAACTTTGATAAATCTTATCTCAAAAACTAGAAGCGTCTATGAGGGATCTTCATCTAGACCTTCAGAGAGTTGTTGAGAAATTTTTTTTTAGAAAATTCCAAACCGCCAAGTAAAATGACCTGCTTTTTCAGGACCTTGGATAATTTTAGAAGGTTCTGTTGTCATTTCCAATAAAACGGAATGAGAGGAAGAATGACCTTTTTGATAAGAAAGTTCGGATAATTTTGAAAAAATATCCGTTTTCCAGCCCATACATGAACGTTAACAATACGCCGTACCCAATGGGAATGCCGTCGAACATGCCGACGCCTGGATATCCGTCCGCTGGCGGACGTGTCGCCCCTCCAATCCCACCCCCTCCGTCGTCTTCTTCCACTTCGAATGATAACAGTACAATCCATGCCTCTGTCCTCAGTGCCTTGGAAGATAGCATACGGTTCAGATTGAGGGAGAAACTCGGTATTATTCTACTCCAGATCCTCAAAAGAAAAAGTCATTTAGGCACAAAGCAAGCCGAAATCGCCTCAATTAACACTGTCGGAAACGATTTGAGAACGGGTCAACAGGCTTTGAAGAGACATTTGGACGAACTGGAGGGACAAAGGACGACTCTTACGAAAGTTGTGAAGACCTATACGGTGAGATTTTCTCCGAATTCACGATTTTGCTATTAAAAGTGTACAGGTTTTGACTTAAACTTTGAAAACGAGGTGTGAATAGTTTTTCTGTCCTGAAAAAAAATTTTTTTAACGAGATAAATTGAATTTATTCAGTTTTTTGAGAGATTTCGGGCGAATCTAGTCAAATATTTCATTAATATCGGCAAAAACGAGAAAAAGGGGGCGGGGGTTGGCAGAAGCGATTTTTGTTTTTCTTAGTTTTTCTTAAAACTAATCGAAAAAAAATGGGGAGAGAGGAGACTTGGCTGTTGCCAGTCGGTCATGCTCATCCCATGTATGCCACTAGATGGTGATCAACAATTTTTGAAGCTATAAATAACACCTAGAAGTCCAAAAATGTAGTTGATCAAGTTGAAAGCATGATCTTACGGTCCTCCTGCGCTTAGTTCATTCAGTTGTGTATTGAGCTTAGAATCTAGCGGGTATTGAAAGTGGAGCCCGAGATCGTTCTCTAGGTGGAAGCTTAAAATTTAGAGCGATTATAGATGAGTGTAGACATTACACGGAGTTTCACGCTGTTTTTTCCCTCGCAATTTCAAAATCTACAGGAGAAGCGAGAAGAGCTGTCGAAAGCCCTGGCAGCTTGCTCGAAAGACGAAACAGTTTCTGTCGATGACGCGATCGACGCGGCGACGCCCCTTCATCGACAGCTCCTCAGCAACTACGTTCAGGACCTTTGCTGCGATGACACCATTTACACCTTGGGTTTATTTTTTTTTTTGCACAAAAATCCATTTAAAGAGCCATGAGAAGTTAGAAAATTTGGTTATGAAATATTTATGTTAGCTTGTAGAGGAGAAGTTCTCGTAGAGAAGAAAAGTTGCTCTATGGACAAAACTTTTCGAGTTTTTTTTTGTTAGTAAAAGACATTGTTCTTTTTTCTATCAAAAAGTTCTCCTTCATTAATTCTCAAGGCTCGGACAGGGTTGAAAAATATTGTTGAAAAAAACTCCTTTGCTGAAAGTTAGGTTACGGTAAGCAACGTTCTGTACAACGTACTTTTTTGACGCGGAGTTTTATTCAAGTTTTTCTTAAAAAGTATAGAATTTTGTACGATTTTAAGGTCATATTTTGGATTGAGACGAAAAGCTGTATGAAATGAGTTATTTCAGATCCTTTTCTCTTGAAAATTTCAACTTTTGCGCCTTTTTTTATTTCAAAAGTTATTCCTATTTTTTGTCAGAAGTTTTTTCGTCCTTTTCCCTTTTTTTTAACAGTACTCTGACCTTGGTAACATTTCTAGTGACCACTTTAGTAACTTCAGCACTCTTAAGTGATCCCTAGAACTGCTCAGAAAAAAACGTTTTTCCGCAAAATCACGAATTGTTCTAGATCTCTTATGTTTCGAAAATGATTCCTGACTTGATTATCATTTTTGCAGGTCAATTCCTGAAACAGGGCAATCTGACGTTGGCCGAATATTTGAAGCGAATCCGCGACGTCTCCCGCGAGCAGTTCATCTACAGGGCGACGATGCAAAAGTGCCGTCGCGTCGCCGGTCTTCCTGTCTAAAATTGAATAATACTTGCTTCTCTCCATTTGTGATATTTTTTTGCATTCGAAATGATTCTTATTTTTTCTTGGCTTGATCGGGAAAATTCGGAAGGCTTCTAGAACCTTTTTTGCAGTCTTTTTGTGGCTTTTGATGGGTTTTGGGCTTTTTTCTATGATTTTTTATAGAAAAAAGCTTTCCGTCATGAAAAATTCCGATTTCAAGTCTCATTTCAAGTAAATTAAAGAAAGGGATACGAAAAAAACAAAATGATGAAAAATTTTTTTAAAAAAAGTAGAATCTTCCCGGATTTTTCCCTGTATTTTTTTCTATTTCCCAATCACTTCTCCAAGCCTAGATGATTTTTGTGATATATACGAATTTCTTCATCTTCTCTCCCACAGCCAGTGAGAAAAAATGACGCGGTTAACGTGACAAACAGAGAAAAAAAAATAGAAATCGATTCGATTATTTTAATGCTTTTGAAATGCTTCCTTGCCATTTCAAGTAAATATATTTGTCGCATTCATTCTCCTGTATTTCTGGCTCCCCTTTTCTCGGAAACGTATCATTGCAGTTTGACTTATAAATCTAGCTTTTTGCTTTTTTCAAAGCTTTTTTGAAGTTTTTCTTTATTCTGAGGATTCCGTGATGTCGGACCCATACTTGTTTGGTCAGGTCATAATGGTATTTTTGCTTTTTTCATTATTTCATTCACCGCGGGCTTCTGACAAGAAACAAGTTTATTTTTTGCGCATTTTTAAGAGTTTTAGTCTCAAGTCAACGGTGAATGGACTATGATTGGAATGCGTTTTCCCGTTGAATTTCGAATTCAGCTCGATATGCAAGCGATCAAATGCGTCGTCGTCGGCGACGGAGCCGTCGGTAAAACTTGCTTACTTATCTCCTACACGACTAACGCCTTTCCCGGGGAGTACATTCCAACAGTAAGTTCCTTTTTTCCATTAAGAAAGGGTTAAGGTTTTTTAGAACTCATGAAAATTCCCAGAAATAGTTTCAAGTTTCCATAAGCAAAGCTTTGAAAAGGCGTTCAGAAGTTCTACGAAAATCATTCTTCTCTTTAATTTTCCTAATATTCATCATTTTTCCTAGTTAATTCTCAAATAGGATGAGTTAGGAAGTTTATCAGATGATTTTTCGGCCTTGCGGACTTTAAAGTTTTGCTAGAATCTTTTGCAGTAAACGGAATTCTCATATTCTTTGTAGTTTCTTTAGTTTTTTTTTTTCGAAAAGTTCAGAAGAAGTTAAGGACCTCCACTTCAAGCTGAAAACCGTAAAACGAATGATTTAATTAAAATGAAAGTATTAGGTTGATTGATTTTTCTCTGATTCATCAGTTTACCGTTATTCATCTTCCCCTTTTTTGCTTTTTTCGTAAAAAAAAAAACAAACATATTTTCTTCGTGTAAATGGCAGGGACTTTCTTGGGAAAGTTGAAGTGGGTCCTAAAGGAAGTGAATAAGGTCCTGAAGAATCGAAAAGTACCTTTTCCCGAATTCCCACCATCCACTACCTGGAAACTCTCATGGTGGATCCTAAACGACCATTTAGGGGAGCCTATAGGGGCTCAGAAAAGGGTCCTTTAGTATACCTCTGTAAGGGGCATTTTTTTTCTCCCTGCAGGATTCACTCCAGCTTTTCCCAGTTTTTCAGCAGTTTTGCAAAGATTCTATCACTGATATTATTGATCAGGTGTTCGACAACTATTCGGCGAACGTGATGGTCGACGGACGGCCGATAAACCTCGGCCTCTGGGATACGGCCGGACAAGAGGACTACGATCGGTGAGATTTCGAAAGAATTATCCATTGATAATCGATCGTTTTCAGACTGAGACCTCTGTCCTATCCGCAGACGGACGTTTTCCTCGTCTGCTTCTCGTTGGTCAACCCCGCCAGCTTTGAAAATGTTCGGGCGAAATGGTAATTCATTGTATAGGAAAATCAAAAAATGTATTGCAAAGAAAATGAAAAACTGGTTTTTAAGAGCTTCAAGAAAGCTTTAAAAGTATTTTTACAATTTTAGTAATTTTTTGAAGAGCATTTTAAGAAAATCACCTAGAAAAAGACAATTACGGGACTTTTTAGTGATGATAAACTTGAAAAGATGCTGATATTTGAAATTTTAAGACAGTGTGTAGATGATCTGAGCCAACAAGAAAGGGTCCGACACGATAAGAAGTAGAGATAGTGCCTGGTTGGTGGAGAGCGCAGACAGACCATGCCCCTTCCCAAACTATCACTAAATCGGCTAGAGTACAAATCTAATTTGATGGTTTCAGGTACCCGGAAGTGTCGCACCATTGCCCTCACACACCGATCATTTTGGTCGGAACGAAGGCTGATTTGCGCGAGGACCGCGACACGATTGAGAGGTTGAAACTTAATTTTCTGTTTCAGCTGATTACCGAACTCTTTATTATTTGTTCATTGATTATTCTAAAAATTTGACGAATGACGGTAGAACAGAGAGAGAAAAAATCAAAACGGCTTTTTTCCAAGCGTAGAGTGTTCAGAAAAATGAGGGAAAAAGTTTCACGTAGAACTGAACAAAAACGTCATTCTGGTCATTTCACGTATATACATGACTAAAACTCCTATAGGGGGTACTGAAGCTTGCGAAAGTGGCCACTCTAGGGGGAGGTAAGAGAGTACCTAGAGCAAAACCTTCAAGTGCCCCTAAGGTCCCCCTATAAGGGCCACTCTGGAGTTTCTGAGTAGTTTAACTGATGATCCATTACCGTCCTAAACTTGCCGTGAGTTATATAATTAGTGACGTCACGGATTAACGGTCGGATATTTAGTGGGGACTTTGAACTTTATCGCTTACTCATCGAAGAACAAGGAAAACTGTTTCGAAACGCGAAAAATTGGATCTAAAACAGAATTTATTGTTCCGGGGCCTCGGTAACGCATTCCTGACGTACCCTGGTCGTTTCTGAGCATTTCTAGGTATCACTTAAGAGTAACTGTAGCCGTTAAAGTTATCACTAGAATGCTCAGGGCGCGTCTGGTTTAGGTCCGAGTTATTTCGAAACGAACTTGAGGAACCGGTGAACTTTTTTTTTTGAATTTTGAAATATTTTTCTTTTTTCCAATGGGAACGACATCAGAATTATATAAATTAATCGATTTTAGACTGCGCGAGAGAAGATTATCGCCGATCAGCCAGACGCAGGGCTACGTCATGGCCAAGGAAATCAGGGCCGTCAAGTATTTAGAATGTTCGGCGCTCACGCAGAAGGGACTCAAGCAGGTGATTTTCTGGGAAAAAAAATGACGTTTCAGTGATTTTTCAGGATTAAAAAATGCACCTTTTGTTTAGGAAATGAGCTTTAAAACTTCCTCAATAAGGATTCCTTGAAAATACTGAAGCCCCTTAATTTTCAGCCATAGAAGTACAGAAGCCTCTCAAAATTTCATTTCCTAGAAGGCTTTATGGAATAGAAAGTTCTTGAAATAAAAGGATTTATGCAATTTTTTCGTTTTCTGATGTGAATTTGAAATTTTTGAGATGATCGTTAGGTCTCCAGAGACCTTGGAAACTTGGAAAAAGAGATCATTCTTATTGACTTTGTCTTTCTTTTCCCTAAATCTTCTTCTTTTCTCAAAAACCTTTGTTGAAAATTCTTCCCAAAAGCCCTATTGAGACCCATCGCCTAGACATTTATGAACCTTTTCCCTTGAGCAGTATCTTTTTTGTGGCTCCGATCCCATTAGAAATGATTTTTGAGGTGTTCGACGAGGCGATCCGCGCTGTCCTGTCGCCTCAGCAAAAGGTGAAGCGAAGCAAATGCATCGTTCTCTAGGCATTTTCTGGCAACTTTCCAAATTCTCTTTATCACTGATTAACTCTGGCCTTTGATTTTTTTTTCGGAATCTCTCCTCAAAATTCTTCGTCACATTCACCATCATTCTTACATGCTTTTAACGTATGCCTTATTCGATTTTTTTGCGCTTCAATCGGTTTTCTGCCTTTTCTCTACATGATATTTTATTTCTCAACATCGAATTTTTAACCGTTTTATTTAATATTTTTGATTCACTTAAGCGGCCGGTAAAGTTTTATTGTTTTATTGTTAGGCAATTCGATTGGAAGGATTTGAAAACCTGGTTTTTGCCGCGTTTTATCACAACAACGACGGAATGAGATTCAGCCTTACAGCCTTTTTCCATTTCAATTTATTTCTTCTTATTTCTGATAATTGATACCTGTTTTACCTTGTTTTCTGTCTGAAATCATAGACCTGGGCGATTGTAAAATGTATATTCCAACTGTACCAACACGCTTGTTCTTCTGTAATACCCAGCAACATAATTTTGTCCATGTTCTATGTTTCAATTTTTCTTCCGTTGTCTTTTTTTTTCTTCATTTTCTTGTGGACGAATCCTGAACACATAATGGCCTTTCCTATGCAATTTCCGTCTCGAAAAAACTTTTCGTATCCTTATTATTTTTTGTTCTAGAGCGATAAACATTATTTATGCACGCAACCCATTCATACGGCGAAAGGGGACCATCTTCGCGTTGTGCAAATGGGTTTTGGGCCTAATGGAGAAAAAATAATAATGTGAGGACTTGGAAATCATTAAAAGCCTTTTTGGGACTGACGTCATTTTTGTGGGAAAAAAAAGCTTGGAAATTTTTATTTTTTGGGCCATCTCGAGAAAAAAAAAACTTTGAGGGTACTTTTTTCAGAAATTAGGAAGACCCCCAGGACTTCTATCAAGTTCATCAAAAAGTCTTGCGCGATTTTTAGAAGCCATAGGTACTTCAGAGTGGTCCCTCTAGGAACCACTTTACCGACCCTTATAGGGCCACGAAAGCTTGCAAAAGTGGCCCTATAGGATAGGCTTCAAGAGTCGTCCCTGTAAGGGTCCTTGGAGGGTTCCCCTAGATACCACTTTCCTGACCCCTATAGGGGCTCTTAAAGCTAGCAAAAGTGGACCCTATAGGGGTTTCACTTAATGGCCCCTTTAGGGACATGCCAGTCAATAGTTATTATGAACTGTAAGCGAAGAAGCGTTTCCATGGGAAAAAAAAAAACTGAACAAATATGCGTTTTTGAATGAAGTTGAAAGACCCCTAGAGGGTCCACTTGAGCTTTAGGGGCTCAAAGATTCTAAACCCCTATAGGGACCACTTTTTCGGCCCCTATAGGGATGTTATTCCCTCTAACCCTATAGAGACCACTCTGAAATACCTTACCAGCTCGCTTTTGGTTTCCCTGACGCTTGAAACTGTCTAACCTCTCTGCACCCTCTTCCCTCTCACGGGAGAGTGAGCAAGAGAGCGCAGACAGGTCAGATTCAAGGGAAAATTTTCGAGCCGAACAGGTCAAAAAGAACAAGCGAAAAGCTTTTCCCTCCATTTCAAGGTCCAAAATCCCCTCGTTCCGCCTCCGAATGAACGAGCCCGTGATTCGGAAGTGATGCGGGGAGGAGTCATGCCTCGGCCTCGCCGATTCCTCAAAGCCTCGGCATTTTTTCGGTCCGGCGTCCGCAATGCAGCTCTCGCTCGTCCTTCTTCTCCTCGTCGTCGCCTTCGTCAGCCTCGTCGACGCCTTCTACATCGGCGGATACTATCCCTCAAATAGGTAATTATGTCAAAAATGGAATTCAAGTGGTTCTTCAAGAACTCTAAAGTGCCCACTAAACCCAGTTCTTCAGAAGTCACTATTTTACGTCTTAGTGGCCACTATAGTAGTTTTATTGGTCTATAAGCACAACTCAAGCTTCTAAAGAGGCCACTAAGTTTATGCCACTCAAGAGGTTCCTCAAGAACTACTTGGAGAGAGCACTAAAGTGGCCACTAAACCCAGCTCTTTAGAAGTCACTAATTTGTGTCTTAGTGGCCACTATAGTAGTTTTATTGGTCTATAAGCACAACTCAAGCTTCTAAAGAGGTCACTAAATGTTCTTCTTTTAAGTGGCCACTATTTCGACTACTATAGTGCCCACTAAAACGTCCAAAGCCAAGGAAAATTTTCACAGATTTAGAAAAATTTCGGAGGCTTTTGAGCTGTTGCCCGCTTCTCATAGAAAACGTAAAAAAAACAACTAAAAACTACAGTACATCTAGTTTTTTTCGCTTCAAGACCTGCACTTTTTTGTGCTTTCTCGAATTCTGGACGCTTCTGAGAAGTTCTAGGGATCCCTTAAGAGCTGACGCTACTAAAGTGGTCACTAGAAATGATCTGACTTCCGTTACCAAAGTCCGAGTTCGTTCTAAGACCTGCACTTTTCGCTTCAAGACCTGTTATCTGAAGGTATACGGTATTTTGGTCAGAAAAACGTGACAAGTTGGCCCGGAATAGACGAATTTTCAAGAAGAATAACGAAAAAAGCGTGAAAATGAGAGATCCAGCTTTTTTAGTGTTTTTTGTCCCATGACAGCGGTGAAAAAAAAAATATAAGAATCTTCTTTAGTCTCACAAGGAAGGTCATTAAACTTTAGGGTTGAGAATTTGCTCACATTCGGTCAGAATACTGCTTAATGTCCTTTATGAATATTCTGAAAGTCTCAAATTGCGAAAATTCCTAGTTATCGAGAAATAAGGGCTCGAAGCCCGAAAGTAGCCTATTTTTCGGATTTTGAGGGCTTTCTTTTACTAACCTTTCACGAAAACTAGACGTTCTTGCGAGTTGAGACTTTTTGAATCTTCTTCTGGTACATCAAGGAGCGCTCTGACTAATTTTCAGGAACAGCAAAGTAGAATGACCTTCCTTGTTGGTAGTAATTTGGAGATTTTTTCGCCATCAATCTCCCCCGGCTAGATTCGCATGTTTTCGGCTCATTCACACATTTTGTTGATATTTATAAATCTGATGGCATCACGAGATATACGGAGGGCTTCGATTATCGTCGTTTGAGGAGCGTAATGAAGTTACGGGCCGCTTGCGGCTTCAGGGAACGAGAAGAATCCCGCTGCTGATTGGGCCACAATCAGTTTATCCACGCTTCGAGAGTTGCTTTTCCTCCCCCTCATGACTCTTCCTTTTTTCCCGACTTGTGATCTCAGAAGCTTGAAACTTTTGAACAGTGAGGGGGATATATAGTCTGTGTGCCACGACTTGAAATTTCACCGAACGACATTCCGCTGTTCCGCTGCGTGCGTTCGCGAAGCGTCTTTCGAATTTCAATTGATTGTTATTGCTGTGGGAGCACATGAAAGTGAAGTACCTCAATAATATAAATAAAATTAAAAGCGCGACCAAGGTTCGCGAACGCACGCAGCGGGACAGCGGAATGTCGTTCGGTGAAATTTCAAGTCGTGGAACACAGACTATACACTATTCGCTTTAAGAAAAATGGTACTGATACTTCTAGACCTCTCCTTTTCCCACACTATTTCGCTAATCTCTTCAAGAATTTTCGTAGAAGTATTGAATGAACTGTATAACAAATCAGCAAAATAGGCCATTTACCAAAGTTTTTTCGAAAATCGGAGATTTTTCTGAACTATTCGAGCTATGATTTTTTAAAACTAATTTTTAACTTTTCACTTTCATAACGACTTTTTTTCGGACTACTCTGACATAATTCTCATAAGACTAGGAACAGAAATTACTGAAACCTTCCAAAACCAAAAAAAAAGGCGAGAAAACGCTCAAAATGTTCAGAGAAAAGAGTTTGTCACTGGAGCGCAGTTCAACCAGTAAAAGTGGCTATTTTCTCAAGGCTACACAATAGCCGATTTTCCTAAATTATTCACTCCATAATTTTTTTTTAAAGATCTTTCCACCCTCGGCTCACGGCGGATCACTATGAAGCTCCCAAAAATCACTGAACGCTTCCGAAAAAACAGAGCAAAAAAACGCGCTGTGAATATGATATTATCCCTAGTCAGAGAGTTTATCTCTGGAGCGCAGTTTGATCAGTTAGTAAGGCTATTTCCTCAAGACTTGGCACAGCAGCCTTGTTTCCTAAATTTTTAAGGACCTTGTCAGCCACGGCTACTTATCTCTATCACAGCGGCTAGGAAGCTCCCAAAAATCACTGAATCTCCAAAAAGCAGAGCAAACCAGAGCGAAAAACCGCTGTGCATTTGATATTATCCCTGGGGCGCAATTCAACCAGTAAGTGTGGCTGTTTTCTCAAGGCTTCCTAAAATATTCGATTCATGAATTCTTTTAAAGGAATTTGACTACTTATCTCTATGACCGTAGCTTTTTCTGGACTATCAAAACACTATGAAGCACCCAAAAAATCACTAAATTCTTAAAAAAAAAACAAAAAAGAGAAAAACGCGCTGTGAATATGATAGTATGCCTGATTTTAATAACAGCGATTTATCCATGGACCAGTAAAAGCGGCTAGACCGTTTTTCAGCTTCCGCTTCTTTTCTAGGCCCTTACTCTTCCCTATCATGGCGGTTTTTTTTTCTGAATCAACATACTATGAAGCTTCCAAAAATCCTGAACCCTTCCGAAAAAAAAAGCAAAACAAAGCGAAAACCCGCTGTGAATATGATATGATGCCTGGTTACAGAGACAACGCGTGGGGAGAGGTCCAGGCCGTGGCGACGGCGTCAAGACAAGCGCAGCCTTTCAACCGACGCGACATCATCAAGCGCTTCAAGCCCTGCTACTACTCGCCCATTCAGTGCCTGATCAAGCGCAAATGAGCTCCATATTTTCACGTTTTTGTCCAAAAATTTTCGCGTATTTATAAAGGTTGTTGAAATGTGCTTGAATAGGGAAATGAAAAAATTTGAGAAAAAATATAAAAGGAGCATTTTCGAAGAAGGTCCTGGAAAGCCTCTTCTTTTTATTTTCAAGTTTTTGTCCAAAATTTCAAGTATCAATAAAAATTGTTCGAATCTGCTCGAAATATCGAAGCCTCTAAAAACACATCTTTAAAAAAAAACAAGGCCACTCCTTTTTTTATAAAAAGATTTTTCTCAAAAAAAATTATGAAAAATTTATAAACGATGTTGAAAAAAAATACGCTTACACAGGACTATCGAACAGGAACACAACTAGGCTTTTTTTTTGGATTTTTGGGAGAAAATCGAAATTCGGTACAAATATTGAAGCAGAAAGTCAACAAAGGCACGCAGAACAACCATATTCTTTTAAATAACGGGAAGAACATACAATCAAATTTTGATTTATTGGAAAATGAAGAAGGAATTTGATTAATGAAGGTCATTTACGCAAGGAGGAGTAATACGAAATTTGCCATGGCTTGAAACCGTCTGACCTGTCTGCGCTCTCTTATCAGTGGAAATAGTACGAGGGCGCAGAGAGATCAGAATTTTTCGAATCCTGTCAAATGAGGTACAGAAAAAAACGCTAACATACCCAGAGGAAGAATGGAAAGAGAAAAGGAAGTCAATCATTTGAAATTTAATAAAAAAATAACTGAGAAGATTTTTGAGAAGAGAAGGCTGGCGTACAAAATGGACAGCTGCAGAAAAGGTCGTGTTGAAAAAATCGATTTTTTTTTTTCATTTATCACAAAAAAAGGGCAGAAATTGAATGTTAGTGTTCTTAATAAATGTTAGAACTTAAAAACATGAGTTTTTTTCTTTTCTAACCTTAACTCAGCGATGAACGTACCTTTATAGAAGACAAAAATTACTTCAAAGACGTCCAAATCTCTGCTTTTTGCACACTATTTCGCCAGTTTCAAACCAGCAAATTCATGTATACACTACGAGACAAAAACGACTAGAAACTTGTCTAAACCTCTCATTTTCGCACACTATTCCGCTATTCCGCAGCCGCCATTCGTATACCCGAAAGGAGAACTAAGAAGTGATAGGCGACCGAGAAGATGACGATGGGGGGTGATGAAGATTCTAAGCCTCCATTTCCTCCTCGCCGACGCCGCCTTCGTCGATGGTCGGCGGACTGCTGCCGCCGGGGTTCCGCTGCTGCTTGCGCTTGGCCAGAAGTCGGTTGTTCGACTCGGCCAGGTTCTTGATCTGCATGTTGTCGGTGCCGACGCGCATCGACGCCAGCGTCTTCTCCATCTCGTCCTGAAAGAGGTAAGGGTCAAATATTCTTATTGTTTTTTTGAATTGGATAATATCAGCATTACAAAAAATACTATTTCCGTATAGTCTGCGCACCGCCAAATGCAAAATTTCAAGCTTCTGCCCAATTTTTTGCCACCTCCGACCTCAAGGTGGATACACTTTTTTCAAATATTGAATTTCATCAGATAACTCCAGCTTCGTGGCTACTCGGACATTGACAACGCAAACTCGGACGTTTCTGGGCTATTCTAGGGGTCACTTGAGAATGCTGAGGTTACTACAGTGGTCAATAGAAACGCCCAGAAAAGTGCTGAAGCTATCTATCTTTCGCGTCGATTTTTGAAAGGGTTCTTTCAAAGTGCTCTCTATAGTATCGCAAGATGATGACTCGACCCCTTTTTTGGCCGAAGAAAATTTCAAAATTTCAAACTTCAACTCAATTTTTTGCTGCGTCCGACCTCAAGAGGGGTATATAGCTTGTTCAGATTTTCAATTTCAGAGAGCTAACTTCACTTCGGCTACAGTATCCTTCGAATACTTTATCACGCGTGATTATGATCCTTTAATAACAATACGCCTTTTGATTTTTTTTAGATTCTCGATGACAAAAATCCCTAGAAAGACCACTAGACATGTAACCTTCAGATTGACTAATCAGGTTCATTTGAAAAAAAAAATTCTATGTTATTCCTCAAAAAAAAAAACCTCAATTCAATTCAGCCTTAGATTCTTCTATACAGGAACGGCTCTATGTACAACTCATTAGAGAAGAACGTTTCCCAATAATAAATATACGAACCTGCATCTCGCCCCACTGCTCGCGTTGATCGCAGAGGATCGAGCTGGTGAAAAGGGGCGTGTCGGGAACCTTAACAGCTATCATTTTATCATTGACCCGTTCCAAAATCACCTTCTGATAGTGAGTGATCCACTTATGGTCCATCGTCTGCTCGATCGTGTACCTTTCCGATGGATCCGTTTTGAGGAGCTTCATGATCAGATCTTTGGCTGGAATTCCCCTTATTTTCTATATTTCCAGATGAAAATTATTCCAACCAGCTTCAGAAACGCAGTCCCACTCGGGGGCCGGAAAAGTGTACTGGCCCGATTTTATTTTGGCCTTCATTCCGGGCGACATTGGTTGCCCGTGAGCCGAGAAGAATGGAGGATACCCGCACAATCTTCAACAAAATTATAAAATAAACTTTTTCTTTCGAAAATAGTACTCACAAAATGTACATGATGACACCGATGGACCACAAATCGCACGATTTATCGTATTTTTCGGCTCCAAGGACCTTCAAAGTCGAATAAACTACAGAATTATTGAAATAAAAGCTGCTACGAGACTACAAGTGCCTCAAGAAAGAAGAAGATCTACACTTGGGCTGAAAATATCTTTTTTTTTTTAATCGATAAATACTTCCCTTCCTTCAGAATTCCTCAATTAACTTGAGAAAAAAAGCTTCGAAGCATGTGAATTTGACTTCTTTGCGCAAAAATGCGATGAAAAAATCAAAAAATTACTTCGGGAGCACAATAGTAAGGCGTGAAGCAGGCCGTGTTCAATCCCTGGGGTTCCGATTCGTCCGTACGTTTGGCAAAACCAAAATCCGTCAGTTTCAAGCGAGCGATGTCCGTTTTTGTCACTGAAAAAAAATTCGGATAAATAAAAAAAAATTTTTTTGCTTTGAAGAAAATTGGCAGGCCGTCGCGCAAACCTAAGATTAGAGAGTATGGTATACATGGAGAGCCCAGACTCTTACTCTCCACGTTTTACACAGTGTCCAAGGACCTGCGCGCTGGCATGCCAACTTATCAGAAAGTGGCAGGCCCTTAGACAGTTTGTAGAGCGTGGAGAGCAAGACTCTGGCCTCTCCACGTTCGCCTTGCTCTCTACTAATATACTGGAAAGGATTAGAACTATGCTCTCCACTTTCTACACCCTGTCTAAGAAACTGCGCGCTGGTATGCGTATTTAACAGAATTCGCCTGGCCTTCAGGTAGCGTGTAGAACGTGGAGAGCAAGACTCTGGCCTCTCCAAGTTTACCGCACTCTCTAAATCGTTGCACTGAGAGACCTGTACTCTCCCCATTCTACAAACTGTCTAAGGACCTCTAAGCGCGCTGGTATGAAAATTTAGCCCCTTATACAGTGTTTACGACCCTGGCCTGTCCAAGTTTACCGTGCTCTCTATATTGATTGCGTTCTTCTTGCAAGTTGATGAAAAACCATTCAAACAAAACTTACGCGTAGAGTAAATTCTCCGGCTTGAGATCGCGATGAGCGATCGCCATCCGATGAAGGTGAGCCACGGCCGAGCAAATTTCGTACATAATCGCGGCGGCTTCGCGTTCCGTGAAGGCTTGTTGGCCACGTTCCTGAAAAAAAGCATCTAAAAATGGAATTATAGCTAAATTTTTAAAAACCGTCGTAGTCATAAATTTTTTTTTTTCGATCACGGTTTCAAGCCTTTTTTCCTGTTATAGCTTCTTCCAAAAACTGCGATTTTTGTTCTATTTTGGTCACGTCAAAATTTGAAACGTCAAATAAATTATATCTTGCTCTCAAGAATTTCAACGGCAAGCTTATATGATGAAACAGAAAAGCTTTGAAAGTTCAGTGATGCTATTAAAAAAGACGAAATGGATCCTTTTAAACAATCTTGATTTCTAAATATTGAACTTTCCGTCTTCAGTTCAAAATTCCATGTGGAATCAACGTCTTTATTTTACTAACTTCTTCGAAAATCCTTCCGAAAATTCACCTGGATCCTATTGAAGAGCTCGCCGCCCTTCATGTTCTCCATGACGACGAGCAGACATTGAACATTATTATAGGAATTTTCGTAGACATCGACGACGCGGACAATGTTCACGTGGCCGCTCGCCATGTAGTGCAAATCGACCTTTAAACAACATATTTTCATTAAAAAGGCCTTTATTTACAGCATAAATAACTATCAAAGGTAAAACCCAACCTCACGCCTCGCCTTGGGAACATCCCGGAGCACTTTCAAAGCGTACTTTTCGCCGGTTCCGCGGTGCTCACACTCGACAACTTTCCCGTTGATTCCGACGCCGAGGACCTGAAAAAACAAATCTTCAATTAGAATGAATATATGATAAAATAACTGCGTGAAAAGAACCAAAAAACAAACTTCCGGCGAAAATTTTGCCGTAATGAGTCGAAAACTCCACGTGAAATATTTATAATGCCGGGTTTTTTTTTAATAATTTCCACAAAATGAAATATTATCTCCGATTTTCCAAAATTTAGTTGTCTTTTTCTTTCTCTGATGGCTATTTTAGATTTCGTGGAATCACTTTGAACACGGAAAAAGTGATTTCGGCAAAATGCAAAATTTTCTCTGACTCTCCAAAATTAAGTTATCTTCTCCGCTCTCCGGCGGCTATTTCGAGTTTCTCGGAATCACTTTGAGCACGAAAAAAGGGTAAATTTGAAATACGCCAATTTTACAGTAAAAAAAGCATCGCAAGAGTTTAAATGTTGTCCGTGGAGCACCAATGTAAACCATATTTTGCCAACTACGCCAGAATTTTACAGTCCGCTATTCTAGGCTTCCGCAATTTTTTCACGCGGCTTGATTTTTGCTGGTTTTATTATTGATTAAAAGACAGCAGAAAACAAAGGTCTTGAAGCGAACTGGGGTCGAATTAGTTCTAATCTACTAACGGTCTTTTTGGTATAAAATAACGTGACAAGCTGGCGTGGAATGGGTTATACAATGACCCTGCTTCTCCGTAATTTGATCAAAAACCCTTGAAAATTATTCATTCAAAAAACAAAAAAAAACCTTGCGGCTGATCCGGTAGTCGGTGGTGACGGCGTGTGTGTGGTAGGGCATTTTGGGTTGTTCGCGAGGAATCGGCTCGACGTTTTCCGGTTGAGGACTCGGTGGAGTCGGGCTTTTCGGTTTGCTCGTTTGCTGCAAAACAAGATACCTCATTTAAAAACCATCACTTTTTTTTTCGATAAAATCTCCGGCTACAGCTTATTAATCGTTAACTAATGAAGAGATAAAATCGAGGGAAAGTTTATGAAGATTTTCAGAATCCCCTAAACCATGTCGGAACATATTACAGTGTAATAAACAAAAAAAAAACTTATAAGCTGAAAAGTCTACATGGTGACCAATTAATTTTTGAATTTTTTAAAGGCAACTTTTACAAATTTCATGGAGGCCTCAGCTATGAACCTTAAACTATATATGCGTTTTTCAAACATTCCGAAAAGCTCGAATAACTTTATTAGAACAGATGAAATACAAAACACTTTTTATATATATATATATATATATATAACCGAGAATCTTATAAAAAGCAAAGCTTTGATCATGAATTCGGCTATACTCTAGCCTAAACCTATTCAGAACGTAACATCGGTATTTTTCTTGCGAACGAAATCATTTTTCTTCTTTCATTTCCAAAAATTTCTAGGTGAATAAACGCAAACGAAACCCTCTCGAAACTTTTCTATTTTTTTGAAAAACACAGCGAATCTCATAAAGATGTCAAAGCATAGAACTGTTGACAGTACTTCTACGTCCTAAAATAACCTATCAATACTTTTCGAAAGGATTGTAACATTAAGAACCTTGAAACACCTCTAATGAAACTTACTAATGACCAAAAAAAGATGGGAAAAGCAACAGGAAATTTCTGAACGAATTAAATGTCTACAGAGTCAATTTACCGGTTTCTTCCAAACAAGCCAACGGCTGGTAGCAATTTGTAAATGAAAGTTTTTTTAGAATGACTCGAAAATTATTCAAAAAAATAAAAAAAATAATAATTCTACTAAGCAAAACCAACTTTTGCTGGCGACTCCCGCGGCGTGGATTTCCTCTTCTTCTCCGTCGCGCTTCCGGCCGCCGATTGAGCACTACCCATCAACTAGTGACCGTAAAATATGGGAATAACCCAGATGGAATGCAAAAAGAAGCAGCTCTAAATGAATTGAATCAATTCAGAGCTTGCTATGCGAAGCTGTATCTGCAAAAAATGATGTTTGGCCACCGAATGCAAAGAAACAAAACTGTTTTTCGGGCGACGCGACACATTATAAATCGATTTTTTTGAACGATTGGAAACGAAAAAACTTTTTGAGTCATAGAAAACTTTCAAGGCAATCTACAGTTGTTATTAGAAAGGCAGTTTGGAAGAATTGAAGACGGAAAAGTGTATTTATGTAAAATTTTGACTTTTTGTGAATGTGGATGTAGTTTTGAAGATAATAACTGGTAAACATACACTGACATTAAATCCTTATTTCTGTCTGAACATAGAAATTTAGGTGAAATCATAAAAAATGGAAATGAAAGCCAGAAAAGTCCATGCAATTCGGTTGTTCCTTCGCATCGTGGCTGGCGCATTTTCGGTGATTCAGCGCGGAAATTCAAACCGCTGGCCGGGCGCAGTTTTTTTTTTCCTCGAGTTTCTCGAAGAAATGGGATTAAAATTGATTTATTGATCATCCAGGAAAGCAACACTCAGCTATGATGGCAAAATGATGACAAATCGCTAAGAAACGTTTGAAAAACAGAAAAAAAAATCTCCTTTTCTGATCTTTCTCATTTCAAATAAAAAACTTCTTCTGCTTCTAATAAAAGTAGGAACGAAAAAAAACGTAGATGGTCGTTTTGATACTGGGTAGTTTCGAATTATTTATTTTCCACACAATATACATCAATAGTTGAATCAAGGAAGGAGGGAACTTTGAAAAGTCAAGAAGAACAAAATAATATGATGAATTCATCGTTATTACTCCACGTAGAACTGGAGTGATAGCTACAGGAGCGGAAACAGAAAAGATCGCAAAAAAGACCATCCTCCAGGAATATTTCGACCTTAAAATCCGATCGGAATGGAGCTCAGCCTCGACGACTTTCATTTCTTTGAGAAAAGCTTCCTTTGTCACTTTTATAAGTGTTCCCGATGTTCTCAAAACGTTCAAGTTGGATGAAACTTTCAATCTTCGGTCTTCGTCTTGATGCAGGAGAGGAATGCCACAGAAAAAAAAAGTTTATATAGTTTTATCACCGAATTAACTGTACACTTTGTCGCCAACGATTGAAAAAAATCATTCGAATTTATTTTTTTCTTAAAAACCACCAAAAAAATAAAATCAAAAAGTTAGTTTAAAATGAAGGAGAAATCAGGTAATGAGTTGGTAGCGGGAATCGACCTTTGAAACATGCGAAAAAAATAAAAAAATAATAACATATAACAAAGAATATTGCATAAATATCAGCTGAAAATAGGAAAAATAAAATATAAGGCCCTGCCTTTCTTATCTTGGCTACTTCAGAGAACATTCTATTTACAGAATCAAATAATACAAAATTGAAGAACTGAAAATAAATTGAAATTTTAAACTTCGTCCGTGAAAAAAGGTGTCAAGCGAGAAGATGAAACGGGAAAAGGGGCCGGTTTATCCAAAAGTCCTTTCAGCTCGTTATCCATCTGAAAAGGTTCAATTTACGTATAAACTAAAATTAGAAAACTTTAAATTAGTTTAAAGTTCTTTGCTGTGATGTTTTAAAGGTTTTTGCTATTTATATAACTGAAAATCGTCCAGATACTCTCATGAAAACTTATGTAAGCGTGTTAAACAGAAATAATACGTAAAATGCTTAATTTTTCAACACTGTAACTAGCACAATATTCTATCAAAAAACTTACATCCCGCATCCGTTTCTCCATCTCCTCGTTGCTCATGCCTTGTTCGGGCAAACTGTCCAAGAAATTAAGGAAGGACGAATGTCCGCAGGTTTGCGAGTCGTTGGCAAATTCGTTCGGCAAATTACCATTCTGAAATCGAAAATAAGCGGAATTCTGGCTTCTTCGAAACCTTCAAGGGACGATTTTCTTCACTCTCGTTGGAATACACTGAATATTCCGGAGAGCTCGTTCCTGGATGACTTTTGCCATCGGAATCGTCGCTAGGCGGTGGCGTCGGAATGCACGAATTTTGAGGCTTTTCCAGATCTAGAAATAAGAAATCCACTCAATTCCGGTCGAAATTGAAACCTTCAATATGATCCTGGCTTAACAATGTATTCTCAAAGCTTCTTTCACAGGTGCGATTGAGAGAGAAGCAGCTTTCCGTTACAACTTCGCTCTCTCCAACTAAAAAAAATGTTCAATAAAATCCACAAGCATCTAGTTTCAATTTGATAAACTTACACGGCCTATTGATCCGCTTTCGAGAAGGCGATCTGCTCAGTACCGTCACGTTCATCGCTCCTTGAAAAAAAACTGTTTTCAAAGCTTAAACGCCGATCAAACCATTATGAAATCCAGCTTCTTCCTCGTCATTTTTTCGCACTGTCTTTATCTCACACCTGTTGCGTTGAGTTCGCTGATCGACTTCGGAAGGAGCGACGCTGGCATTCGGGAAGAAGGACCTTCTCTGTGATAAAAAAAATAATTATTGTATTTGAAAATATAACAACTTTGCGGCTAAAAAAATTTCGAAGACGGCGAAGCATCGTAGAAGTGCAAGAGATTATAAATGAAGCGCTATTGAATTTTATGAGGAAGACTGTTGGAGGTCAAAAATAGAACAAATACCAGATCGTTGACCAAAAATATATTTTTTTAAAAAAATTTTTTTAAAAGCTCTAATTTAATTCAATTCGCAAAACAAAGGGGCATACACCGAGAAAAAAATAGAAACCTAAAAAAATTTCTCAGTCAACCAGCTGAAATCGATAAGATGCTTTTTTTAAAAATGAGAAAAATTATTTTAAAATAAAAAAACAGAAAAAGTGTAAGTAAAAAAAGCGGCCTTTGCGTCTCCAGCTGCGTGCGGTTGCGTCGCGTGCGTCTCTGCGCATTTACTGGCACTCTTTTTGGCCCAATTTTTTTTCAAAATTGTTTTTCTTATTTTTATGTGTTTTTTTCATTGGTTTTTACTGATGTTTTATCACTACAGTTAGACTATCGTTGATGCTTAGAATTCGCATAGCTCATTGGAATATTGAGCGCGCTTTCGAGCCTGTTAAAGTTTTTTTATGTGTACAAAAAATGAATAAACAACTTTTATTTGTTTTTTTTAACGTCGTTGTTTCTTCATTCTCATTTTTTTCTTATAAATTTTTCAAAAGAAATATGAAATCACTTCAGATGGACAAAGACGAAAGTAGTGTCAAACTTGTCGACCTAATAGGATGTCCCGACTGCGGGAAATCCTACCTCCAGAAGAACATTTATCGACATCTATGGGACCAGCACAATTGGACGCGTGACGAATGTCGAAATTTGGTCCAGCTGATTCGCTCCGAAAAGCGGGTTTTGAATGAGAGATCCACGTATAGCTGTCGCTGGTGCGGCTCTGCGTACAAATCCACCCAGGGATATATAAAGCATCAATCGGTGAGAAGCAGTTTCTGGCAGATTTTCGAAAAAACTGTTCCAGAAGTGCCTGATCAACGTGGAGAACGATGAGCCAGGAAAAGAGCAGACGCTTCAGAAACCAATGCCCGAGTTGAGAGGCAAGGTAATGGCCGGAGAACACTCGAATCGCTACCGATCTTCCTACACTGTTTGTCCGGAACCTTCGTGTGGAGTTAAAGTAAGTGATTAAAAAAAGGTTAGCTATATAGATGAATTTTCAGTTACAAGTAGACTCCAGTGACGAGCTGGTCAACCATTGCGCCGAATTTCATTCTTCGGATACGCGAAAATTCGAAATCGAGCGTCAGATTTTTCAAACTTATGATGCTTTCAAGGTTCGTTTTTGGATAACTTCTGAGAAAACAGCTTCCTGAATTGTTTGAAGAACTTTATGAACTTATTCTTCCAGAAATGGTTCGACCAGCGTCAAGAAGATTCCTGCACCTCCCTGACGAAAAGGACAGGTCATCGCGGAGAAACTTTGTATAGGTAGAATTTTCTTCTCTTCTCGTTGGTTCGAGCTTTTTTTGTTCAATAACTCTTTTTGAAATTTGTTGAAAGGTGACTGTATGACTTGAAAAAGCTTTGAGACTATACTTTTTTGATTTTATAAAAAAAACGTTAAAAATAAATTTTCAAGATGCCACATGATTGGAAAGTACTCGAGCGTCGCCAAGAAACGAAAGTCCAATCCTCGAAAAATCGACCAGTCTTGTACGGCCTTTCTGAAGGTAACTCTATTTGAACAATCAGAATTTGTCAGGTTTCTTTTTAGGTTTACACATACAAAGATGGTACCACCTACGCGTCCGGCTGCTTCCAACACATTGGCCATGAGCTTAATCACAAGTTGTTGTGGCTGACGGAGACCCAGGAAAGCTATGTCAAGGTGGGGGTTTTGAGCGAAATTTCAGTGTTGATTGGTAAAATCTTGGCGACTATTGCAAGAGCCCTAGCGGCGTCTTTAAGTGATCATTAATGGAAAAAGCTATACTTCAGTGACCACTTAGATTGTCCCACTTATGTGACCACTTACTTCGGGCGTTTAAAGGAACATAGGTCGAAATTAAGATAATCAGAAACATCATTGCAATGGCTCTACCGGCGTCTTTAGTGGTAATTTAAGAACAAAAAAAGAGCCTCCACTTGAGTGACGCCTTGAAAGGTTCAAAAAAGATTGATCCGACTATTAAAGGGGCATAGGACGAAAACAAACTATTTTTCATGGATAATAATATAATAACTTATAGAAAATGTTTTTAAATAATGAATTTACGATCTAAAAAAAACCAGTTCAGGAGTTGATTGACCGCGGCTTCACGTCGGACCAAATTTATCACTACATCCGACAAGAGTACGAGAACTACGAGTGCAAACTGAAGTACATTTCGAAGAATGACATCCGGTTAGCTCCTCTAAGCTGAAATAAGTGAAAATCCTTGAAATTCCAGCAACATTGCCGTCCGACACAAGCGCCTGAAGGAGGTGAAAATGGAAGAAGAGGGAGAAGAGGACGAGGAAGATGATCTGCAAGAAGACGATGAGGAAGGCCCCAGCAGCGCCAAGAAGCCCCCGGCCGTCGATGTCGAACCGGCTGTGGAAGGATGCTCGAAGGGTGAAGACGTCCTGAGCGAATCCGTCGTCGAGTTTCCGACCAAAGAGCCCGCTTCTGAAGCCGCCGACGTCAAAGAAGAAGTCGAGGAGGCGGAATCAGAGCAGCCGGTTGTTGTCGAGGCGGCAGATGTAAATTGTTCGTGACATGATCTCTCGTTTTATTCTGTGTTTTTTAATGAATTTGTTCATAAGATTATTCCTACTTTGAAATCGAAATATAAAAAATTTGTTCTTAAGCGTTTTTCTGGACATTCTGAGGTTTCAGAACTAGAATTCAGCCTTTCAGGAGTCGTAATATCTTTTTATCTAGGCTTCGAAATACACATTAAGTGAGATAAATTTCAGTTTTCAGGTGTCTGAGTTTCGAATTCCCTCCTCCAAACAGCTAGAAATGAAGAAAACTTCATTTCAAGAATTTTTCGTTATTGAATTCTTGTTGCGAAGAGCCCTAACCAGAAGAATCTTCGATCTGGCTTCCTCGAACTCGAACAGAATTCTGACAATCTTCTGGTAGAACTCTGAGCGGAGACTGGAAAAGAAAAATTGATTCACAACAGAAAAATGGGAAATTAACCCGATATTGGCCATTTTGGCTCCGTACTTGAGCTGGTACAACTGATCACGGGCCATCAGACGCCGTGACTGGACGACGACGTTGGTCTCCAGATGCAGGAGTCCTGAAGACGTCGTTTCTAGTCGGAACTGCGAGACGCCGCCTTGCTGCAAAAGTCGTTTGACCCTTGATGAAAGATATCTGTACCTTCATCATGGCAAAGTAATCGATATTGCTGTGACTTCCGATGAAAAGCTCCTTGAGGGAGTAACTCTTGTCGTTGGCTTCCAAAGGTCGCCACATCTCCAGATTCAACTTGTGGCTGAACATTAGAGGTTTTGGTCGCACGTGGAACGACTGTCGACAGTTTTCGCGTGTCTGCGTCTCTCTTCCCTCACCGACGAGGTCAGAGAAACATGGAAAAAGCACATAAACATGAGAGGGTCGTCGAGAGATAAGGAGGGCGCAGAGAAGGACTACAGCTTCTGTGCTGTTCATTTTCGAGAGCATTTTTTTGTCTACTTTCTCTGCGCCCTCTTCTCTCTCCTCTTCATTCACTGCTGGCTTGAGCCATCGAATAAAGGGTCCTGGCACGATGATGCACGAGACAGCGTCTGACTCGTGGAGAGCGCAGATAGAACACGTCTTTTTAGCTGGCCGTGAATCAGCTACATCGATGAGGGAACAGAGACGCAGACATTGTTTCAACCGCGACGCTTCGAGCCATTCCAAATGCGACCACGACTTATGCGTACCTCCCAGGCGTGACCGGCAGATGAGCGCTACCGAATCCGGCGGTGATGCGACGTCCCCAGCCGTCGTAGGACTCGGCCCGGAACATGATCAGCGGCCACTCGTCGCTGTCCTCGCACTCCAGCCCGACCTCGACGATGCTCGAGAACAGGTGCAGACCATTCTTAAACTTTCTCAGGTAAATTTTCAAGGGACAGTTCAACCTGATCTCTGAAAGATCGATGAGTCTGTCCTTTCGTTGACCCGGAAAGCAGTTTGGCCGTTTTGGGGAGCTCAATCTCATATTCGAAGCTCAGACCTTCGAAGGGAAACTTTTCGGCTTCAACTGAAAACAATTTATTTTTGAGAATAATTCTTGGTCGCATTTGGAATGGCTCTCCCGACTTGACCCGGTTCTTAGAGAGTTGGTCCAAGAACTTCAAGTTTTCTTCTGAGAATCGAAATTACTGTCACAGTTACTTAAGCTTTCAGGCTGGTTACTGTGGGGCTCCACCCTCTTACTGGGTTACGGTAGGTATTTTGGTGAAAAATTCTAACTCTGTTCCTAGTATAAATATCAACTTCAAATTTTTTTAATACATAGAAAACGGTTTTTTAAAGTTTTTTCAGTAGTATTTTCCTAGAACATCGTTGATTTCTTCGTTTTTGGGTCATGTCAAGTGACTGTTACAGTAATATCGGTTTTCAAAACAAAACTTGAAATTCTTGAACCGACGGTTCATTGTGAATCCGAGAGACCTTGCTTGGATGAAGCATTGAAGCAAACCGCGACGCGACCGCGCCGCTTCGAGCCATTCCACGTGCGATTTCGACGCTTCAAGGCGCAATGAATCAAATTTTTCCAAACCTATAGTCAAGCAGATGGTCGTTTTCGTGATATTTTCTCTAGGCAGAATGAACGTCTCCATCTCCGCAATGCTGGTCTGAAAAATTGACTCAAAATGATTCAAAATTGGTCATTTTACAATTGGAGACCGATAGGCGGTGCTGGGTTCTTCAAACTCCGTGTCGCAGATCTCGACTTGAGCGTCATAGTCGCCGAACTTGCTCTCGAGCCGGTACCCTTCTGGATTCAACGCCGGCTCCACGATCAGCTTGGAATCGTCGATTATCGTCAATCGACAGACCAGGCTCAGGTCTCGTTCGGTTTCCGACCTGTAGGAAGGGAAAGGAGTCTTACTCGAACACAAGGTCTTTCGGTAAAGTTTTTTTGATGGAACTTGTCTGACCAGATAATGGTCTCCGGTCGCAGGGGGACCCCTGAATGAGTAAGTTTTCTAGATGTAGTTTTTCACGCTGATTCTGGCCGAGGAGGTTTTTGAGACCAGATTTGGGATCAACCTGAAAAACTACATCTAGTTGGTCTCATTCAGGGGTACCTTCGATACCGGAGACCATTCCCTGGTGAGAGTTCTTTGAGGTCTCCTGATATCAGGTCAGTTATGACTGAGAGTCCACCTAGCCTCATTTAGAGATATGTATAGGGACCGCAGGCAGTTTTCTAGAAACCATTAGATTTTTTTTCTTATCTCATTTCTACCACCCGAGTGGTCGGTCTTCATTTCCGCTCTCGCCTGAGATTTAATCCGACGCCCGTCAGCCCTGGACAAGCTGGGCGCCGTACTGTTCCTACATGGAGAAGCAGTGATCGTCGGAAACGCTCGAAAAACGTCTACTACTAGCACAAGAGAGGCGAGATGTTCTACGCGCCGTCTACGCTTGATCAACGACATTATCGCGAACCGACAAACAACTCTTCAATTATTCCATGATTCAGCAGAGAACCTACTCTGAAGACTGAATAAAACTTTCAAACTTTAGATTTCAATGATTTTCATATGGTCGTGTAGCCCATAGTCCTGACAACTTAAAAAAAAGGGATCTTGGAAAAAAATCGACTCTGAACGAAGTTACAGCCATTAAAGCGCGCGTTTCGCGATTTCAGATCTCTGTAGAAAATTTGGTCGAGGTCGCGAAAAAAGTGGGCGTTGCAAGGGTGCGGCGCGCTCTCAAAAGGCCAGTAAAAAAATTACAGAAAAAAAGTTTCTTGTTAATTTTTTTTCGCACTAAAAACACAGTAATGATGGTTTTTCATTATTGGAAACGATAGAACGAGGTCTAAAGATGAGGACCAGTAAAAATAAACATCGAAAAAGCATAATTTGAACGGCAAAAAGCGGCAAAAAAAAAAGCAAAATTAATATTTACGGAGTTTTTAATGCTTTTGATTTTCCAAATTGTTAGAATATCATTCCTACCAACACATATCGTATGTGTTGGTAGGAATGTTAAAGAGATCCTATCTAGCCTTTGAAATCTTTGAAAGAGGTGAATGGTTTTTTGTGACCAGGGAAAAGGACTATCATTCTCCAAATGAACTCAGAATTTCCACTGACATGGGAGGTCATTTTAGCGTAGGCTTCAGAATTTTTTCTAAATTCGCTCAAACAATCTTTGATGGACTGGGAATCGATCCCCCATAGTCGCTATCTGCACAAACTTTTTGTTTTGGAGACATGATTTTTCAAAGTTTTTATCCTTAACCATGTGACGCCGTTTGGAAGGAATGCTCCCAGGAAACGATGCGGAGCGCAGTGCTGGTTTCTGCGGAACGCGCGCAAAGTGAGCTGCGGAAAGCATTGCCTACGCATTTGCCCTAAAAAAAAGGTTGTTGCGTTGCGCAAAAACGTGGCTGGCGTTGCGCAGACCTTCTAAATTCGTCCTGGCTCGTCCCGCCCCTTTGGGTTCAGGAATTTTCGCTATACAGGAATACCACTGAGGCTTCTATTATTGCGATTTCTCATGTAAGAACAACGTCCAGTATATCTATTTTATCGAATATCATTTAACGACCACATTAAATAACAAAATCATCAACAAAAAGGATACATTCACTGGTAGACAAAAAAAATAAGATTATATTCAATTCAACTTGAAAGGCAAGATGGATAATTGGCAAGGTGAAGCGTTGCGTACGCGACGCATTTTTTCGCAAGAATTCGAGGTCAAACGCGTTTATGGAACGAATGTAGAAAAAAATTCTTATTCTAGTAAGTTTTTTTAAAAAAATTTTTTTATACCTTCATTCGTTCAACTAAATTTATTAAAAAAACCATAAAAAAATCGAAAAATAATTTTTAGTCTGAGAAAAAAACATGGATGGCTCTCCTTGGACCTCAGGTTTAGCTCCAAAAAGCCGCAACGCGCTTGCAACGCTTCAATCTACTCGTTTTGCCTTTCAAGTCGCGAAGTATTCCATATACAGTAGTGAACAGAAAACATTAAAAACAAAGCTGGGTAACAGAAAGTACAAAGTAGTAAAAATAAATTGCTTGAAAAATGGTGGTATGGAAAAAAGCCAGCGAAATTTTGAACGGCGACTTTTCCGATTTTTTCATATCGCTAGGGAAATTTCCGACGGGGACGTTTCCGAATAATTCCTTTCCGACTTTTTCCCTTATATTTTGCGGTTTATAATAAATCTATTAACATTGTTTTTCCTTTTTTTGTTCTTTAAGCAAGAATCAACAATCTTATTCATATAAGAGAATTGAAAACGAATATCTCATCGAGAAAAAAAAAAGTCGGAAAAAGAATCGGTCGGAACGTTCCCTAGCGATATTAAAAATCGAAAAAGTCGTCGTACGAAAATTCACTGGCTTTTATTTCATACCTCCTGAAAATAACCACAGAAAAGAAATCAGAAAGAGTCTGCTTTTGAACATATGGTAATGGTAAACATAAAGATCCGATAGCAAATAGATTTACTGAATGAAATATTGCGGAAAACTTGAATAGGTGAGACTTTATGATATACGTGTTATTGATTAAAATAAGGAAGAAATAATTTCTGAATATGCCGTTTGGATGACTATTGAGAAAATAATTTTTTGAGCTTCTGAACAAGGGTTTTTTTAAGTTCGCAGTTTTTTGGCACGAAAAACGTTCGCAAGCTTGGAAACCAAAAACTTTGACCTTATTTAGGGTATGGTCAATTTTACTTATCGCTATCGCTCCATATGAGTCAGGAAAACTAGTTGAGAACAACCAATATATCTGTAAATTCAGAGGGGGTCTTCTATGACGCGCATTGCATAAAGTTTTGAACGTAAATACTTTCTTGATAGTTTTTGCCAAAAAATTAAATTTACCCTTATTTCCTATCTCCCTCTACGGCAGTTTACCAAAAAAAAAATTGAAACAACAGGAAGATATACCACAAATATGTTTTCCGTTTTGTCGAATTTTCCACAGACGCAGTCCGTATTCTATCCGGCAGTAGTTCAACTCAGTACGTCAATACTGCAAATCAGCTTTTTTTGAAAAAAAATAACTTATAATATCCCACCGATAACTGTTTGAAAAAAACTCCGCCTAGCCAAGACGACCTGTAAACACAGAGCACTTTTTTTAGAAGCCCAGAGACCATAACAAAAAAATCAGAAAAAAACGGTTCCTCTTGTAAAAAAAGCTGTAAAACAGAATAGCTGAACACCAACCATCCAAGCTCAAAACCTGCGTTAAATTATAAAACATTAAACTTTTTTTGAGTTGATGCAATCGATTCAAGCAATCAAAAAGCCTCCAACAAAATCAAGTTTTTTTAATTAATTTTTTTACAGCAAGAAAAAAATTAAATTTCTTTTTTTATTTTTGTCGTGAAGCCTAACTTTCCCATTCAGCTACTTCATGGAACTTCATTGAGATTTGCGGCACTTATTTTTGAGATTAGACACAAAAAAATAAGGAAAGTCTACCATGGTGCCAATATGAAACACGTTTGAGAAACCTTGTGGATGTGCCGGAACAGTCGGCCGCTTTTTTATAGTGGGCATTTTTGAAAATGTTGAAGTTATTTTTAGCTTTTTGAGTGTCCAAAATGTGTAAAATTCTCGATTGGGGTAAGGCTTTGAGTGCCGAAAAAAACCAAATACTGGCTGCCCAATTGGGAACCCATAATCAAAAAAAGTTCAAAGAACTGAATAACGTCAGCAGTGTGGATATTGTGAAAAAAAGATGCGATTTTGCGTCGGTTCTCGTCGTGTAAACATTTTTTTGTCAGTCTGAACAGAGAGCCCATAAAAAGTTATAACGTTAGGGGTCGATCGAGAAGGTCCTTTAATATAGGAAATTATTTGTGTTTTTTTCAATTAATTTTTCCTATCAACCTGATTGACTTGCCCTGAAAAACAAAAATATGTTAGGTGCGAAATAGTGTTTATTGAGATTTGAGAGTACTTTCTTTTCGCGAAAATAGAAAAAAAATTCTGACAAAGAGGGAAACTTTGTAAGAATAAAGGCCAGAATTTCCGAAAAACTGAGTTCCAAACTCGCCACATAATGAAGAAATAAGTACTTTAAAACCGTTGACATCTCAATGAAAAAGAGACCGACTTTTCCAGCATGCCTACTTCTTTTCGAGAAAAAAAATCCCAAAAAACAAAAAGTTTGAACGAAACTTCAATTCCATATTAAAGATATTTGCTCATAAACGAAGTGTGAGAATCATCTTCTCCAACTTTCTCACAACCCGCAAACAAGGAAACAACGTTTAACGTACTTTGAACCGTAATAAAAAACAAAAGAAAAATTGAATTGAAAAAAGTGAAATGAGAACAGACGTCAAATAAAACGCTTGGCCGTATTACTTTTGCGTGGTCACGTACGTAGAACGCACCGTAACCTTGCCCTCAAATGTTTCCCCTTTTTTGCGCAACGCAAGCCTCTTGCTCGCTTTCCGCAAGGGCAAAATTGCGCTTGATACCTCAGCCACGCCCACTTTTTCGCTCGCGCTCCGCACCGTTTCCTGGGAGTGTGGCCGCGCCACCAACCACTGCATGGCAGCTAGGAGCGTGGTGCAGTGGCTAGCGTGTTAGCCTGCGGAGCCTATTATGAAGGTTCGAATCCTTTTGCCGCTAACTTTTTTTGCCATCATTTTTTAGAAGAATTCTGATGAGAATATCAAAACTTCATGAGTAAAACCTTTCCAAATAAGTTCGATAGCTATTTTCTTTCTGAAATCGCTTTTGTTGATGGGAAAAAATCATGAAAAATTTCTAAAGTTGTGGCAGACTCCACATCATCAGAGACTATTTTTTTGAAAATCAGCGAAAAATGTTTCAAAAAAGCGCTGAACCTTCATCGAAGATCTTCGCATGTCTTGGTTGTGATAAATAACAGTGGCTTTTCAATATTTCAATAGCCAATTTCTGCCTTACTTCTGGAGAAACATCTTTACAGAATATGAAAACTTACCTGTCATCCGAGTTTTATTGAAAAAAAAATTTCCAAACCCCATTTCCATCCTAATCCAGATTTTTTTTTTCAAATTTTCAGGAATCTAAAAATCTTTTGAGCAAAATGTTTTTGGGAAAATTCTCTGATGATGTGAAGTCCGCCACAACTTAAGAAAGTTTCCATAACTATTGTCCATAAAAAAAGCGATTTTAGAAAGAAAATAGCTATCGAACTTATTTGGAAAGGTTTTACTCATGAAATTTTAATATTCTCATCAGAATTCTTTAAAAAAATAATGGCAAAAAAAGTTAGCGGCAAAAGGATTCGAACCTTCATAATAGGCTCCGCAGGCTAACACGCTAGCCACTGCACCACGCTCCTAGCTGCCATGCAGTGGTTGGTGGCGCGGCCACATTCCTTCCAAACGGCGTCACATGGTTAAGGATAAAAACTTTGAAAAATCATATCTCCAAAACAAAAAGTTTGTGCAGGTAGCGACTATGGGGGATCGACTCCCAGTCCATCAAAGATTGTTTGAGCAAATTTATAAAAAATTCTGAACCCTACGCTAAAATGACCTCCCATGTGAGAGTCGAGAAAGTTTTCTAGTTATAGTTGATCCACGGCTGGCTTGAGCCATCAAAAAAGGGTCCTGACACGATAAGAAAAGAGATGATTCACGGCTAGCTTGGGACGCAGAAAGGAGTGGCCTGTCTGCGCTCTCTGTCAACCAGGCAATGACTATAGAAGCAAGAAAAATGGGAACCTACGAAGCTTGTTGGCCAAGGAAAGCCAGAAGATAGACAATCCGTCGTGAGGACGGATTTCTGGGCGCTTTGAACTCTTTCTTGTAGACCACAGTGCTGGTCGAGGTGCTTGCCTTCCAGTTGCTGGAAAATTTTGAAGTTCTTTTAGAAGGACTTAAGGCTCATTGAATTCACTACTTGGGGTCGAGATTCCTGGCGACTTCATCTTCGGACGAATCCTTTCCGAACTTCTTCAAATGGTCTGGTAATTGGTCCTGGTCTGTCACAACTGAGAGACGGTTTTCTCGTGAAACTTCTCTGGAAATTGCAAGTCAAATCATGAGAATGATAAGATTTAAGGCTGCAAATTTTGTATCAAAATTCCCCCAGGATAGTGCATTTCGGAAGTCTTCTGACTTTTTTCATTTCCGTCAGAAGCGGATGAAATGGGACTCAACAAACAGTGCGAGAGAAGGCAATCAGAAGAGACGCCAGAGAAGAAGACGGTCTCTCTTTCTCTGGCGTCTCTTCAAGATCCAGCTGCTCTCTCGTTTTATAGCTGATTCTCGGCTGGTTTGAGTCACCGAAAAAAGGGTTCTGAGACGAAAAAAAAAAGACAGTGCTTGGTTAGTGGAGAGCGCAGACAGGCCCCGCCCCTAGCGTCCCAAGCTAACCGTGAATCGACTATAGCTAATTTTTGACTTTTCCGTGGAAAAACCTCTGAACAAACGGGGAATTTCCACTGCTGGCAGACCAGCTGACCCGCATCTCGTCCGCAATGACATCGAAGGCCGTCGGATCGACGTCTCCGCGTCTTCCCGGCACGTCTTCTGCCAGAATTCCTTTCCGGACTAGTCGGCATCTGAAGAAGGCATTTTTCGATGAGAATCTTATGAAAGGGGATTTTTCTCACTACTTTTCAAGGTTAGAAGTCGTTCAGACCAAAATTTTATTTTTTTAAATCAATTTTTCATCCTTCACCCACCTCACGGTCAAAAACTGAGCCGAACCCGAGAAATTGAATATAGTGGAACGCATTTTGAACGCGCCGGTCAGCTGCTGTTTGAGCTTCGATCCGTCGTTGCCATGGGCGACCGAATTTTCCTGACTCCTATTCTTTTCCAAATGCCTGTCCTTCTTCATGATGAAAAAGGGGAATTTCAATTTTAGTTCCATTTTTTGAAGGAAAAATTGCCAAGTTTCAGTACTTTCCCGACAATTCCTACAAGGGACGTCACTTCCCTCTGGGATTTTCCAGAATATTGGCCAGAACTCTCCTTGATGTACCAAAAGAAGATTCTGAAACTCTCAACCTGCACAACTCTCTAGTTTTCGAGAAATAAAGCCCCAAAATAGCCAATTTTGTGGATTTTGAGTGTTTTCTCTGACTTTGAGCCATTCCAAGTGCGGCCACTTTTGCTATTCAGAGCCCGAAAAAGTGACATTTACTTGCCAACCAAGAAGAAAAAAACATCTGAACGTAGAAACTTCGAAATCGCACAGATAAATGATGAATTCCTTCACTAAAACGTGATCCCAAAAAAAAACTTTCTTAAGGAAATGGAATAAATTGCCGTCGCTTATGGGTACATAATGATAACAAAAAAGGTCCGGCTAAAGGCGCAGATTCATGAGAAAAAGTGAAAATCAATCGATTCAAAATCAGAAAAAGGACAATTCTGGAGAAAGGCGAGGATTTAATGAGAGTTATTTTCACAGCACACAAAAAAACCGGTTTCATTCCATTTTCTCGTCCTCCTCGTCGTCGTTCGAAGGCAGGTGGTGCTTCAAAGCGGCACCCTCGTTGTAGTGAGCCTTGCGTTTCTTCTCGAACTCTCGCTTGTGGGCTAAAACGTTTCTTTGATTCATTTCTATAGTGACCCTTTGGCGGTTTCAGACCCTGCGGTTCCTCTACTGAAACGTTTTTCATTAAATTAGTTCCTATAGGGACCACTTGGCGGTTTCCGACCCTGCGGTATCCCTCTAAAGCGGTCACTTTCTCCGGCAAGTTTAAACCCATATGTTCAACTATGCCGTACACGAAGAAATCGATACAGAAAGGAACAAAGCTCAAGAATCTACTTAAAGGGGTTCTTTCCAAGTGACCTCTTAAAAGGCCAGCTAAGTAGCCACTGGAGTTCCCAAACCCAGGGTTCACCCAACCAAACTTCTAATCGAACTTGAAAAATCTGCTTTTCTCTGCGCCTCTTTTTCCCTCGGCGGGACTCTCCTATTCACGTGCTATCTTCATGTTTCTCTGACCACGCCGGTGAGGGAAAAGAGACGCAGACATGGCAAAAAATTTCATCTTCACGGAATAAATTTATTTTCATCTTTCCAGTGGTGAACTGCCGTCACCATGCAATTTTCAAAGACCTTTTCCCAATTTTTCTTAACTTAACTTAAAAACTTAGCCTTGAGGCTGGAGCTTGTTTTTGATTTATCAAGCAAAAACTTATTTTCCTTCCAATTTTTCATTTTATTGAAAGCTTTTAAGTCAACGGTAACCCCTCCCCCTCTAATACTTATTGATTTCTGTACTTCCCCAAGACCGACAGAAGAAAATTCCAAAAAACTCCGACTGACCCCTTTGTTCCTCGGACATTGTCTCCTCATCATCGCTCTCGTCCGGCGGGATCGGAGTCGGTCTCGTCGGACCGCCGGCAAGACCTTCGGCCACCTGCTCCGGGTCGACGGCCGTACCAAGGGAGACGCGTCGTTGGCGATTCGCCGACGAGCTCGACGACTGGAAAATCGAAAAAAAATAATCGATACAGTTCGTCGGTCATTTAAGGGAAAAAAATTTCTATGATGGAGACCTCAAAAAATCGCATAGATCTATTATCAGTACAGAAAGCTTCTATAACTTGAGAAGAAGTAATAATTCAAAAATTCCTTCAAAAATCCTCAAAGCCTAAAAAAGTGACTTTTGAAATTCAAGATTAAAAAAAAGTGCAGGAAAAACTCTAGTGGTCACTTAAGAGGTTCCTGAAGGACTACTTGGAGAGGATACTAAAGTGGCCACTAAATCCATCCTAGTAAAAGCAATTATAGTAGTTTTTGTGGAGAAGTAGTACCATCGAAATTTCTAAAGAAGCCTCCCCTATAGGGTCACTAATTCGACTACTATAGTGGCCTCTGAAACTTCAAATCCCTGAAGTGACCACTAAAAAAATTTTTACCTCATCACACTCGCTCTCCACGTCAGAGTGATTGTAGGGCGTCTTCGGTTCGTCAATCTGAAAATTCACAAGTTTATCGAAAGCAAAAATGGCTAATCACTCAAAAAAAAAAAACTACGAGAGAGCGTGGGAGCTGAAGAGGCGCAGGCATCACTTTCTCTGGCGCCTCTTCATCTTGTACACAATGCCTCTTCAGTTTGGTATCATGCGAAATCGCGGAATACTCTCGAAAAAAAAAACTACGAGAGAGCGTGAGAACCGAAGAGGCGCAGGTCTCTCTGTCTCTGGCGCCTCTAGCTTCTACAGTATCTCTCATTTACAAGAAACTGGATATATCGAATAATCGAGAAAACTTTCTCATTGATTATTCCTACATAAAAGCTTAACTTTTTTTTTATAGCAATAAAATTGGAAGCTTTTCAGGCTTTATAATGAATGAATTTCTTTTCTTTCCAGTTCTCAGGCAAAATCCTACCTTCATATTTCCATAATCCTTATCAGCCGGGTGATAAGTGGCCAGGATGTTCATTTCATCAAAATGCGCCCTGCCGTCTTTTCCTTCCATAGAGGAGTCCTGGAAAGTCATTTTTTCTAATATTGCCGCATTTAATTGGCTCAACCTGCTTCATTTTCAAAATGCTCTTTTTCGGCTTGAGTTTGAGGTATTCGGCCGGATCTTCGAGGTTGTGTCGACCTTCCTCAATTTCCTGACCGTCCGCCATTTTTCGCTTTAAAAAATGAAATATAATGGGAACAAGTTCATAGAAATACGCGAGAAGATACAACGAACGAAGGAAAACATTTTTTTCGTAAAATCTCGTTACGCCTAGAGGATTTCCTCCGCCGGAAACTTCGGCGAAAAGTCTGATTCTAGAGAAAAACGGGGGAGAAAATCTAACGGGATTAGTGTGTGAAACACCCGATGAGATTTGATCGGATATGAGAAATTGTCTCAATGAGAAACCAAAAAAAAAAATGACATTTTGAGCGCTTTTTCTACTGGATTAACTTCTAATACAAGGCTTCTTAAGGCTTTTCTTTTGAATTTAAATAGAAAAACTATTCAAAAATTAGACAAGTGTAATTTTGAATGGCCAAATCGAAAAATGCAGCCCATAAAAAACATGAGTTTGCAAACAAGTGTGACAAAAGCTTATCAGTGAATGTGATGAAATCCCCGTGAGAAAAAAAATAAAGAAATGAAAAAGAGGTGATATTTGAGACTCTAGTTTCATGTCTGAAGTGGACGAAAAAAAAGATTTTTTTCAAAAATCGTCTCCAAAAATCTCACGAAGCTGTTATACAAGTACAAAAAATATTTTTTTAAAAAAATGTCATTTTTTTGAAGATTCTCCTCATAAAAAAAGTAAAAAAACAATGGCTAAAAGGCAAAAAAATAAACTCTCAAAAAGGATTTTTCCAAGGAAATTTGTATAAAATCCCCTTTAACCATGAAAAAAAAGGTTCCTGAAGTACAAAAAACCAGATAAATCATGAAAAATAAAGGTTTCTGAAGTACTTATCCGCCGTAAGCTGAAAAAAAAACATAATTCCTCTAGGAGCGACAAAAAACTGACGTAAAACAAAAAGCCATCAATCAGGAGCCCAAAATGAAAGAACAACTACAGGTACCTCCAAAAATTCTGTAATTTTCAAGCTCCTCTTTACAAAAATTAAAAATACAAAAGCTGAAAGCAAAAATCAATTCTTAGAAAGGCTCTTACTCGAGACGATTTGTATTAAAAACCGGATAAATAATGAAAAATAGAGGTTCCTGAAGTACAAAAATCCCGATTAACCATGAAAAAAGAGGTTCCTGAAGTAGAAAATCCCAATCAAACATGAAAAAAAGAGGTTCCTGAAGTACAAAAATCAATATTAACCATGAAAAATAGAGGTTCCTGAAGTAGAAAATCCCAATCAAATATGAAAAATAAAGGTTCCTGAAATACAAAAATCCGATGAACCATGAAAAAAAGAGGTTCCTGAAGTACTTTTCCGCCGTAAGCTAAAAAAGACGCATCAATCCTCCGCAAGTGACGCAAAACTTGTCGTAAAACAACAAGCCATCAATTAGGAGCCCAAAATGAAAGATTGGTGACACGTAGAAAAGAAGACCAGACTTGTAAACAGACGGGGGGAGAAGAAGTTTGAGGCGGAGGCCGACGCCTTTTCGAGGCAATTTAGGTTGAAAAGGAACGGGAGAGACTTTTTTCGAAAGAGAGCAGAAGCCATTTGCAAAGGCATCCGCCCTCCTGTAATACTTTTTTTTTCGGCTTCTTCTCCCGCTCTTGCTCATATACGCGAGAAAGCTTCCGAAAAAGCGCCCACGGGCGTCCCTCAGCCAACAATCAATTCAAATGCAACACACGACAACTTTTTTCTGGTGGTCCACTGAATGCTCATCATAATAAGCCAGACTCCCCCCAAAAACGCCTTCAAGTTCGCTCTTTTTAGAGCGAAAAACGGAGTTTCTCTCCGAAAACTTTCAGAAATTACTACATTCACAAGGTTTGGAGTTTAAAATACGACATCAAATAAACTTTTTCTTACTATATTTCCGAAAGAAAAATGCATTTTCTTCGAAAAAGACTTACAAAAAACGGCTTCAAGTTCACTCTCGTTCGAAAATTATTGATTTCAGAAGGTCTGGAGTGAAATCTAGAGGAAAGTTCAGAGATAGAAGGTCAATGAAATTTTTTTGTACCACATTTTTTGAAAGAAAACTGATTTTCACGTTGAAAAGACTCCCCAAAAACGCGTTCAAGTTCACTCTCTTACGAAAGTCGAGCGAAAAACGGAGTTTTTGTCCAGAATCTTATTAATAATACTACATTCTGAAGATTTGGAGTAAAATCTGGGTGAAATTTTAAAAATAGGAGCTCAATAAAGTTCTCTCACACTATAATTTCGTGAGAAAAATGATTTTTTCTTCGAAAAAGACTTACAAAAAACGCCTTCGAGTTCACTCTTTTACGAAACTACAGCGAAATCGTTTCAAAATTACGAAATTCAGGGGGTTCGGAGGGAAATATGAGTCAGAAACAACAGCTCAATGAAAAACTCTTTACTCAATTTTCGAAAGAAGACCGAATTTTTGTTGAAAAACACTTCCAAAAAACGTCAAGTTCACTCTTTCACTAAATTTGAGCAGAAAACGTAGTTTTTTGTGCGAAATCGCTTTGCAAAAATTAAAAAGTTGTGCAAAATGAATATATTCGACTTCTGTGAAACTCTCTCTCCTTCAATTTTCGGAAAAAAGCTGACTTTTCTGTTGAAACAGATATCCAGAATTTGTCCGGGGATTCTCCTCTCAAACATTGAAAAAATTCAATTTTCGCGACCAAAGTATATTTTTCAACTTCTTCAAAGCCTTAAAAAAAGGAGGAAAAAAATTATTCAACGGTACCTGATAAGGTAAGAACTTACTATGACTAAAAAAACTGAACTTTTTCCAGGAAAATATTTTTACAAGAAAAAAATCTGGAGCGAAAAATATCCGACAACTTTAAAAAAATTCTACATCATAAAAAAAGTTAGAAAAAAATAAAAAAAGTATTCAAATCGTTCACAACGAATTGAAATCGACAAAAAAAATCTCCCAATCTCGAATAATTTATTATCGATCAAGGAGAAATATTCAGCTCGAGTGCTACCCTTTCAAAGTACAAGTCAGCTTAGAAATAAAGAAATAGCTAGGAATGGCTAGGAAAGAAAGAATCTCTAGTCGGGGATGCAGAATTTACACGAAACATGGAATAGTAATAAGTTAGGAACAATAAATAATCAATGGTTAACTTTTTTTCTCAGAGGCCGATCATGGACGGATCCCAGCTTCGGACGTTTGGATCTTCATCGATTCCAAGGAGTCCACCGAGCCAAGACGGATGATTTTTCCGATCCGTATCTTCAAATTTTTCAAATTTCACTTTTTTAAAAAAATCGCATCCTTTTTTTATGGGGGATTTCCGGCCTACTGAAATTTCACAAAAAGTTCCTACTCTCATAGAAAAAAATTAAAATTGTTCCCATGAAAGCGCAGTAAAGTTGCTCTATTGACGAAAAAGTGTCGTAATTTCTCATTTCCTGGTAAAATTTTCAGTGACCACTTTAGGGTTTTGACGTTCTAGTGGCCATTGTTGTGCTACAATAGTGGCCGCAACATAGTGGTACCTATAGGGATTGTTTTAGTGGCCACTTTAGGGTCCTCTCTAAGTAAAGGAGTATCTTAAGTGACTACTAAAGTGTTTCCCAGCCTTTTTTCGCATTTTTTGATACTATCTAGAATATGGCAAAAAACTGTAAGTTTCTTTTGCTCCCGTTAAAAGAATTCCCAGAAAAATTCCTACTCTGAACTCATTTTTTTGGTTTTAATCTCGATTTTTAACTTTGTTCAGCATGTTTTTTGGCGAATTTCAGTTCCTAGGAAACGAAATTGGAATCTTACTGCTCGAGAAGCTGTTCGGGACACGATCCATCCATCATTTTGATCATTCCCATCTCGATAATCGCATGGTAATGGATGAAGGCGGCGATGACGACAAACGTGTGGAAAAGTTGATGGGATTGGAACTGAACTGGGACAATTTTCAGTGAGCACTTTAGGGTTTTGATTTTTTAGTGGACACTATAGTAGTCAAAATAGTGGCCACTTAGGTGGCTAAAATTCACTGGACTAAACTAAGAAAAACCACTATAGTGGCCAATTAAACGCAAGATAGTGGCTTTTATGAAGATGGTTTCAGCGACCACTTGAGTGTCCCCTCGAAGTAGTCCTCGAGGAGCCTCTTAAGTGGCCGCTAGATAAGATGACTGGGAAGAACTATAGTGGCCAGTTGAAAGGTTCCTCAATGACTACTTGGGGAGGACACTGAAGTGGCCACTAAAACCACCACTATGGAAGCCACTAGAGCATTTTAGTGGCCTAGTAGTACCAATTAGACTTCTAAAATGACCACTAACTAGGCTACTACAGTGGCCACTAAAGCGTCAAAACCCTATAGTGGCCACTAAAAATGTTCACAGAAAATGCAAGTAATTTCTCTGCACCCTCTTCAACCCACTCTCTCACGTTTAAATGCTATTTTTTATTGTCGGTGAGAGAGAAGAGAGCCCAGATAGGACAGACAGTTTCTTGGACTATTTTCCTCACCCAAAGATCGCACTTTCCGGGGAAACAACGTTCCGGAATCCGAGTTGCGTAAATGGTAGCGCCACCAATGTACATGGCTCCCATGATGAGCATCCAATGGAGTGAGGCCTAAAGGGAAAATTTTGTCCTTTCTGGCTGGTTTAAGGGTTGAAAAACATTCTTCTGATCGAATAACTTGCAGGAGCCTTCACTTTCTCGGTTAATATATCAAAAGGAGAACTTTAGAGACTTTCAAAAATCATTCTCTACCTAAACTGTCGAAAAAAAAAGATCAGAAATATCCCTATGATTTCCAATTCTCTTCCAGAAGCTCCCACATCAATTTCTCTAGAAATTTTTCGATAAAATCTGAGATTTCAAACGAAACTATTCACCTTCTGGAACATATATGTCAGCCCATCAGTGATGAGTAAATGAGCCGCGGGAACGACCGCAGAGAGTCCCATGGCCACAAAAAAACGCCAGCTCGTACCGGTCTGTGAAAATTTGAATGAAGTTCTTGGAATATTTGTCAAAATAAACCATAGCTCAAAAATCTAGAAAACACGCTTCAAAATAAATCTAGGAGAAAAAATTTGAAAGCCTATCTTCAATGCATAGAAATGCAAGAAACTAAATTTTTGACTTTTCTTCGCCGGCATTGCAAAAAAAAAAAATGAAGTAAAAAAATCCTGAACAACTGTGTAACCCTTTGATGTAAATCTTTGAGTGTTGTTAAACTTAAAAATCGTGGGAAACCCTTCCGTGACCTCTATAGTAGTTGACTTAGTGGCCTCTTAAGTGATTAAAACTTTTTTTTTGTTTTTTTTTTCAAATTGCTTCAAAAGAAGGCAGAAGAAAAATTCGAAGACCTATCATCAATGCATAGAAATGCAAGAAACTAAATTTTTGGCTTTATGATTTTTGATTTTTCTTCGACGGTGTTTTATTGCTCCCTCCTGTTCTTTGATAATTGATAATCTATTAAAAAAATTTGAAAAAAAGAAAAAATCCTGAATAACTGTATAACCTTTTAATGTAAATCTTGGGACAAACTTCTAAATCCTGGAAAACTCTTTAGTGACCCCTACAGTAGTTAAATTAGTGGGCACTCAAGTGGCTGAAACTCAGTGACCTTAATTATGCTACTAGATCACTAAAAACTAATCGAGTAGGTGAAATAGTGGCTTCTATAGTGGTAGTTGTAGTAGACCCTCAAGTTTCCTTGCAAAGTATCCCCAAAGGAACCTCTTAAGTGGCCACTAAAATTCTTCGCAATCTCATTTTCATCTCATTTTTTCCCCACAACATCCACCTATTCATTATTAAAATTTCTCAATCCATCAAAAGTTATGGAAAGTTATTTATTTTCTTCCGTTTTCCCTATTCAAAGGCAAAAAGAAACCTGAATTTCGGCTCGGCAAACTTGTCCCACAGGGAGACGACCATCGCAGCGATGCCCAAGGAGATGATCATGAAATTGTAGATGACCATCGGCTGTGGACGGCAGTAGAACGAAAAGTAGATCCAGGGGACAAATGAGCCAACAATTAGTAGAGTTATACCCGTGTAATCGAGCCTAAATTCAGGAAAATACATTCAACTTCATAAAAAAAATTTCGAAAGGTTCTAGGATTCCCTGAATATCAGCTAAAACGTAGAAAATAGAAAATCAGAAAATTCTCAAATCCTCCCCCTCACGCACTGAATCTACTCACTTGCTGAACAGCTTGCCGACTTCGACCGAGTGGCAGGCGACCGTGTGGAAGACGAAGGACATTCCGAGGCATACGACGGCTCCGATGAAGAACATCGAGTAGATCAGCTTCTCGATCCACTGGACCTGGTCGCTGGGACGGGTCATGCACCAGAGACCCACTCCGATGAACGCCACGCAACCTTCAATTTTCAACAGTTCCAAGTGATATGTGAAAATACTGGAAGGAATCCTTCTCCTCTGATTTTCGAAAAGATTTCTTGATATTCCCCTAGGTCAGGTTAGAAATTGAAAAGGTTCTGTTTTTGGTTCTTCAAAAGGCGTTTGGAAGTTTTCATCAAGAGGTCGTCATGCTTATAGCTTTCCAAGATCTTCTACTAACCTTCCAGAAGCCTGCTAGAAGGCTTGTGGCAGGCATTTTTTAATTTTTAATTTTCCAAGCACCACCTGAACGCCTTTTTGAGGCTTTCTCAAGAACTTCTAGCTTCAACTCACCTGCTGCTTACCTTCCAAATATTCCCAGGATTTTCTTGAGTAACGCACTTGACAGACATTATCTTACCTACCTGGCTACCTCATAGATATACCACCTATTCATTTTACAGTAAAGAATATGTTTCCTAATTCCAAATCTCGTCATACTGTGACCAATATACCCATAAAAGAAAGATTTTTTTTCTTTTAGTTTCAACTTTTTTTTTCTTCTCCTTGGTAACTTTCCCGAATACCTACCATACATATGGGTCCAGATGTTTCCGGTCTCGGTGTGAAGTGCAAAAATGCTCTTGAAACAGTTGCTGAAAGACGGGATCGGGGGACGATGGCCGGTTCTGAGGTATTCATTGTCCTGGAGCCAGTCGGGGAGGGTTTCGAAGTTCGTGGCCTTCCAGCGAGCTTCCCAGAACTGAAAACTGGGGTTTTGAAGGGCCAAAAAAGGGTAAAAAGAGGGCGTGAAAAGAGCCTTTTTCTCAGCTATTTTTGGGAGATTTGAGTTAAATCTCGCCGACTTTGCCTCTAGAACTCAAACTTGATACTAGGACGCAAAGAGGCGTGGCCTGTCTGTGCTCTCCACTAACCACGCACTGTCTCTTCTTTAATCGTGTCAGGACCCTTATTTCGATGGCTAAAGCCAGCCGTTATTCAACTATGATAGAATGCAAAAGAAAATTTTTCTCAGCTTTTCAGGGTGAATTTTCAAAAGCTCTGGGTACCGACTTTGCCTATGGAACACAGAAAAACCAAAAAACCCACCCTTTTGACGACAGTCCTGGCGCCTTTCCCTGATTCTCCAGGAATGATAACTTCCTCCTCGTTGATTTCAACCTAGAAAACTTCTTCAGGAAGGTCTGAACGGCTCCAAAACCTCGAGTTCGTCCTCCTCATCTGACATTTCGAAGCGGAGGTCGCAGACTCGGGAAGCAGTTGGGACTGAAGACGGGGCGCTGGTCATTTCTCCGCCGGCATCGCCTCTTTTGTTCGGTTGGAGTCGATATTTCACGATTCTACGGCGATGACGGTTTCCGTCTTGCTGAATATCAAAGATGGTATAAACTATCAGATAACTCTTCGGATTCCTATCAGTGCCTATACTTTCGAAATCTCTTCGAATTCTGATTTTCCAAAGCTATATGGCATTTAAAAATCACTGAACCGTCGGAAAATTTATGAAAAATTTTTTGCTCGGAATGCAGATATGCAGCACCCTTTCTGAAACTTTTTTTCATCTGAGTTTTTTTTCTCTACGGCCAAGGTGATAAAAATATCAGTCATCACAAGCCCTGGGAGTTTCAAAAAGATTAAACTACATACAAGAAAGTTGTGATCGAAACATCGATTTTTGCTTTTCGTAGCTTTTCTGACGGAACTGTATGAAGTGATCAAATATTTTTCTCACGGCCCCCACAGAATCGTTATATGAAACGTTCTCACAAAATTATTTTTCCATACGTTTTTTTATGATTGAATATTAATTTATTTTTTTGAGAACCTTGAAACTAGAAAAAAATAGCGAAAAAAAGGCCTTTTTTTCTTATATCTTCCAACTCTCCTACCATTTTTTTCACATGGGATAAATATTTTTGTTAGAGCTTCTTTTTTCTTTTTTTCATTCAAGACTTTCTGAAACTAAAATCGAATATTTTTTTCGAAAAAAATTTTGTGAAAATTCCTCTTTTGAACTAAACTTAAGATCAAAATAACGACTTTACTCAGAAAAAAATCTAAGACTGGATATGTTATTATAAATTTCAGAAAAGCTCAGATCTTAATCTTATCATTAAATCGCAGATTTATCTTACCCTCCTACCATATAATTAACCCTTCTTCAGATCCAACAATTAAGTTTTTAAAAGAAGAGAGAAAATCATAGGTTGAAATCGTGAGGAAATTAACGCTTTTCAATATGCGCAAGGAAAAAAGGACAGCACGATAAATTTGAATAATCCGTTCCATATGACCCATTCGCATGTGGAATCATTTATGACGTGCAAAAAAACAAACAGAAAGCAAAAAGAAACTGATCAAAATCATGGCTTTCTCACATTTACAACTTTTTTTACATTGGGGAAACACTGAACCTCAAAAAAAAAATTGTATTTTTCCGCCGAAATCATCTTGAAAAGTATCCTCAATCAGAAAGGGACATAAAATTTCAATAAAACTTTAATTTTTGGCGTATCACCACAAAATTTTTCACCTTTTCTTGATGAAGCCTAGGTTAATATAGCCTTGATTTAAATGAATTTTTGCACGTTTTTCGAAAAATCTCTGTGTGAAAAAACTTGAAATTCGTCTCAAAAACTCCTCATGAAAGCACAAGAACAAAAAAAAAATTTTTAAGACGTCTATAAATATACCTATTTAAACATAGCAGTAAGATCTACATCAATCTTCATTTGGAAACATTTTGGGCATTTCTCTCGGAAAATAACCCAAAAAAATACCTCAGAAAACCGTTACTACACCCCGAAATCACCTCGTGATTGTCCTGAATCACAGCCAGGGACATCTTCTCGCCCTTGGCGTTGGGCATGCTCCAAGCCCGACGGTGTCCCTTTTTCCAAGAGCCGTTCTTTTTGATCGTCGTCCCGGTGCTGGGGCCGGGCAGATCGTCCCGCGATTCTTCGCCTAACAAGGACAAGGAGATTATTTTGGAAATGAGAAGGGTAGAGACGTGAAATCTTTTTGGTTTAATTTTTTTGGAATATATAAAAATTATTGGTTATATTTTTGAATTTTTAAACTCTACTATGACCTAGTAGTAATGAATAAAGTTGACAGCCCCTAGGGGGACCGAAAAAGTGGTGCCTATAGGTGTCTAGAGTCTTGCCCCTGAAGCTTAAGTGGTCCCTATAGGGGTTGATAAAGTGGGCCCTCGAGGGAACCCTTCAAGGGCCTTCAGAGTTGCCCCTATAGATCCCACTATGGGGTTAAAAACTTCAAAATAGCCTGTTTTTTATGGATATAGTGAAAACTCTACGAAGGCCTATTGATAAACTCTAAAATGACTATTGACCAAAAAAGAAAAATTCAATGTTTGGATAAAATTGATCAACTTTGAGCTCAATGATCGATGAAATGAATATTGATTGATTGATCAAAAAAGAAACCCTGCAATTTTTTCTCACCTTCGTGAACTGTAGAAAGTCGACTGGGCCTGTACGAAGGACCTTCGTCGTCACTATCACTCGCCGGCTGCTCCGTGACTTTATTGTGACGGACGATAATTTCGATCGGGACGTTTCCGGACATGGTTTTCGGGCTGAATATTTCTTTTTTTTTTTTGGAGGCTGCGGAAAAAAAAAACTAAAAATGTCAATATTTTCTTATTTTCGAAAGTACAATATGACCGCACTTCTGTCTATTTGATAAGAAAGATCAGTATCATGTTGATTTCAAAACACCTCCAAAGCGTATTATTTCTGCTTAGGTTTCTTAATTTAAGTATAGATCTAATGTTGGGAAAAATACCGAATTTGTTTCCATAATCCATTTTTCTGAATAAATGTGAATATATGCAGAAAACAAGAATATTTTCTACCAAAACTCGACGTCGACCTGATCCACAATGACCTGTCCCCGTGTGGTGGCAGCCTGGAGCGGTCCATCCGTCATGATATTCTCCGCCATTTTCAGAACGTCCTAAAAATTATTTTTTATATTTCTATCCAGTGTAGTAATGGCCCCATTGGCTGATAATATATAGCCCATTCCGAGCCAGCATGTCAAGTTTTTATCTCTGCCAATAGACCGTAACAATCTTCGCTCCGAGACCTTTGCTTTTTTCCGTCTCGTAGTGCAAAAAGAGCGAAGGTTAGGTTTACGGTGGCTTTTTTTTCTACTGCTTGCGGAACACACTATACTCAAGAGTTTCAGAGTGATCCCTTTAGGGATTTTTGTCCTTACTTGAAGATTAATAAAATTATTATTTTTTAATTTAAGGCTGATATTTCGCGTTTTGTGCATATAATTGCTTCTTTTCATAGAGTTCATAACAATAATTGACAGAAATGTCCCCTGTAGGGGCCACTTTGCGAGCTTTAGTGGTCCCTATAGGGGAACCTTCAAGGGGAACCATAAGATTGCCCCTATAGAGACCACTCTGAACTCCTAAGTATGAAATGACGACTTCAATAATTTTGCTTTTTTTCAAAAGAAAAGTTGGTTCTTGAACGCCTGAAGGCCAAGAATATCAAAAAAGACAGGTTAGAAGACAAAGAAAAACTGCAAAATGGATTTTCAATACACCTAAATCATAAAAAAAAATCAAAAAACCCTCTAAGAATTTTTCAAAGTCTTTTTTTTTTTAAATGTCTTACAGAATCATCAAAATAGTCTAATCACCGTTATACTACGCAAGGGACTCTGCAAATCATTGTGATCCTTGTGGGCGATTTTCAGCCGATCGTTCTCCAGAACCATCACGACGTCGCCGAAATCATCTTCCAACTGATAAAAAAAAAGATAAATTATCAACTTTCATGCAATTTTGAGACTTGATTGGGACGATTGTCGCCGAGAAGCTTCTCCTCGGCCTCGCCGTCCTTTTCGTCGCTTTTCTTCATCTGATCGAATGAAAAAATGTTTATAATCAAACTCTAATCACTTTTTTTATTCAAAAAGATCTTGGAAGGCATGCAAGAAACAAAATAAACAACAAGAAATCAAAAAAGTATAAATCCACGGTTCGAAAACCAATAGAAAACCTGAAAAACTTCCCAAAATCGTAAACAATTTATTACATTGAGAGGCCGTTTTAACAATGGAATATGTCATAATAATCACATCGTCAACACACGTTCATTGTGAAGTGAGTGGTCAGTTTTATAGATAAAAACCGGAATTTTTAACGAAAAAGATGGCTTGGAAAGGGGTTTTAAAGCACTTTGAATGGGGGGTTTTTATACATGAAGTGCGAAAAGAATAATAATAAAGGCACAAAAATATGAAAAAAATTAAATTTTTCTAAGGCCGAATTCATTTAATAACTGACTCTTTTTGGTTTTTTTCTTATCCTATCAAAAAAACATTGATAACGATATTTTCGACCCTTCAATCATATAGACGATTCACCGCTGTTTTTGAGCAAAATATAAAGTTTTCGCGTTAGGAAATCCTGTTGCTTGGAACCAATGCGCCTTTAAATTCTAATTTTTTTTTTACTAATGTCGTGTTCAATTTGATTCCGCGAAATGCGAAATGATCTCTGACTCTCCAAAATCTAGTGATATTTTCCTTTCTCTAACGGGTATTTTGCATTTCGCGGAATCAAATTGAACATGGCATAAACGTTTCCAAAAAGGCGCATCGTGGGTTTACCAACATGGGTCCTGACGCGAAATGACGTCATTTTTGCTCGGAGAAACGGCTATCTACAGTATCGACTTTTTCGCACCAGTCATGTCATAAAAATTATAAAAAATTAGAAATTTTTCAAGATGAGCAGAATAAAAAGGATCAACAGATTTCAGTGAGCAATCGATGGGGGAAAATTTAAAGGAAAAAATATATTTTTTTTATTTTAATGACTTGATTCAACGGAACCGTATCCTTGTGATGAAGGAGGAGGCATTGCTATCACGGCTGGCTGAAAAATTCAACTTTTTCAGTAAAATTTTTGATTTTTCTCACTCTTGAAGGCTCTTCGCCATTCGGCCCCTTATATTGACGTGTTGGTGAAGACGTTGAAGTGGGCTGGAAATTATTAAATTTTCTAAAAATTGTTTCGAATTGAAATATCTCAATTTTATGTCATTAAAAAGTATCTTGAGAACGCCAGAGTGATAACTAAAATGGAAGTTGAAGGTCTCCTCTCTAGGGACCATTTTACCTCCCCTAAAAGGGCCGCTAAAGCTCGCAAAAGTGGCCCCTAGAGAGGCGTATTGTTATAAGCTCTATGTGCAGAATATTTCCATGAAAAACACAAGAAATTGGCTCTTTTTAAAGTGAAAAAAAATATCAAATGTGCTCTAATCGATCGAATTTTATTACATTCTTGTTTTAAAAATCTGAAAAAAAAAAGCTGAAAGACCCTATAGGGACCACTTAAGCTCGAGGGCTTTAGGCTCAGACTCTGAAAATCTATAGAATCACCTAAATTTTACCCCTAGAGGGAGTGCTTTTTGCTTCTTTCGGGGCTGTTCTCCTGAAGCCTATAGGGACCACTCTGGCGTTTTTAAAATTACACTTATAGCTGGGAAAACTCCAGTGGTCACTATAGAGGTCCTCGAAAGAATTATTGGAGAGGACACTAAAGTGGCCACTAAAACCACCTCTTTAGTCCTTATTACGAATTTTTTCAAAGCGAATAAAAATTTTAAAAAAATTTCTCTTTCGAAAAAAACATTGAAAAATGGGCTCAACCTTCATTTTCCGCCAGTTTTGATCACTTTTATTTTAAGAACTAAATTTTTAACACAAGAAAACGACTAATTTCAAGATTTTGGAGCTTTTTTTAAACCTCGATCACGATTCCATTTGGCTGCGTGGTGATGGTTGGAACGTCATCTTGTGCCAAATCCTCTGGGACGTCGAACATCTGAACTTCTCCGGTACACTTTATCGATTATTCAGCCTACATCCTCCTGCGCAGCCGGCTTGTACTTTCCGCAGCAAAAGTTGCAACAGAACTGACAGCAGCATATGCAACCACAGCAACAACAAAAAAACCCGCACGTCAGGAGGCCGATTCCCATGAAAACCCACTGAAAATCGTGAGATTTTGAGCGAGGATTTTGGAAAATCTATTCACTTTGAACCAAGGCTTCAACATCCATTGCAAGATCTTCTCGTCTTCGCCAAATTGTTCCATGAGCTTCAGTCCGGTTTCACCTAACTCGTCATAAACCTGGAAATCTTTCTTTTAGAAGTTAAAAACATGAAACTGCCGTAAAAAAGTCGCACGTACTGTGACGCCTTTTCAAAGTTTAAAATGCTCAAAACTCCGCATTTTTTTGAAAAAAAAAATAAATTTTGAATCTGACAATGAAAAAAGGTGTACAGTAAGTTTTTTTCCGGGAGAAATTTTCAACTTTTTCGAAAACTTAAACCGATGTTTTTCGAGCCGAGAGAGGCCTTGAAAAGCCGTTCAAAAAAAGCTGAGCTATTCGAAATAAGTTTTGACGTTTCAGTGACCACTAAAGGGTTTTTACGTTTTAGTGGCCCCTATAGGGTTTTTACGTTTTAGTGGCCCCTAGTCTTTTAATTAATGGCCAATAAAGTGGCTAAATTCTAGTGGCCTCTTAAGAAGTCCAAGCGTAACTACAAGGCCTTTAAAAACTACTATAGTGGCCACTAAGACGCTAAACAGCGGCTTCTGTAGAGGTCGTTTCAGTGGACACTATAGTAGTCAATTTAGTGGCCACTTCAGTCATTAATAATTAGTGACCACTTTAGAAGTCTAAGTGGTACTACTAGACCACTAATACTACTATAGTGACCACTAATACGTAAAACGTTAGCCACTGTAGAGGTGGTTCTAGTGGTAACTTTAGAGTCCTTTCCTAGTAGTCTTTGAAGGACCTCTTAAGTTGCCATTGGGATTTTTCCCATTATTTGAGCATTTTTTCAAGCAAATGTATAAATTTTATAAAATGATATTTTTCTAGGCCAATTTCACAAGGTAAAGGATGTTACTACAGAACGCTACCTAACCGCAAAAGTCTAAAAAAAGCGACACGAACCTTCCTTTTGTTGGGATTTGACAGGACCGCATTTGCATAGTTGACTTCCTTGAACTGAAAATCAAAAGTCCAATCATGATGTGGTGGAAATCGCCGACTTTTTCCGTTTTCTCGGGGTCTCCCTCAAGGTTCTTATCGGGATGATAGCGCAGGGCGAGCTTCCTGTAGGCGCGCTTAATCTCCTCGTCCGTCGCATTCTTCTCGATCCCGAGGACGTTGTACAAATGAGCGCCTTTCGTCCTAAAACCCGGGGAAAAAGTCAATTTCGAAACGGGATATCAAAGCGCCTACACCATCAGAGAATAAGACAAGTTGTTGATTTCGATCGATGTGTTGAAGGGAGAAAAAAGAAAGACAAAAATCGTGAGCGAATTAACATAAGTTATGCAGGAGGGCGAAAAAAAAACCCACTCCTCTGCTCTCTGGCCCGCCTCGGCAGGTGTAGCACCTCGGGGGTTGTTTTCGTTGTTGGAATCGAATGTGGCTCGAGTTTCCACATTTATTTCCTCCGCCGACGTCATCTGAACGAAATTTCTCTGGCTTATTCATCGGGGAGAAGCGGAGCAAGTTTGAAAACGCAAAAAAAAGATGCTCTAAAACAATATTTGCAGCTTTTTTACTGCTTTTTCTATATAAAAAAAACTTTGCACAATAGAGTATTCCGGTACTTTCCAAGCTGAATTACGGAAAAAACTGAACTTTCCAAAATTTTGGTGATTTTTCTGGTACAAAGTACCATTAGAAAACAAAAACTAGACCTTCATAAATTAATGTTTTTAGGTTTCCAAGTGAAATCCCCGTTTTTTTGCGAGGTTTCTAAACTTTTTTTACACTAGAAACATGATATTTACAAAATAAAAAAACCTAAAAAAAACAGTTTTTCCCAATGTTTTTTTCATCAACAAAGCAGTGCAAATAACAATATTTAACAAACTGACTAAATCTTAGCTGATTCATACTTTTAACGTACATTATTAAAAATTTGAAAAAAAGGTTTGAACTCATATTGCCCTTTCAAACTATGACGCCTCAAAGACTTCAAAAATACCTTTTTCCTAATAATTACAAAGTAAACTTTGAAACGCCACAGCTCGAATGAAATCAAACAACGTAAAAGGTTATTTGAATCATTAATTAATCTGTTCCAAAGTACATCTCAGCTATGTTTTCAAATCATCAAACCTTGCACTTTTGAAGAGCGTTTTGAAAACAAAATGTTGAGCGAATTGGCAGAAAAACTGAAAAATGATTCATCTTTAAACGATTTTTATCAATCAACGCGGCCAATTCAATGAGAAAACAAAACAATTGTGCTTCAAAATGCAATAAAGTGGTTATTTTGTAATAAGAAGCCCAAAATTTGATTTCAATACATTTTCCAAGAAAAAATAAAGTAAAGAAACATGTTTGTCCATTGGTATTGAGCAAAAAAGAAATTTCCTTGTTTTTGAAACCTTTCAAAGACATGATCCATTTTGACAATGGAAAACGCCTTTTTGGCGCGTTAAAAGTGGTTTTTGAGCATTGAAGTAGTTCAGTTAAGTGTTCACTAAAGGCTACTTAATACTTATTTTTTTATAAAAAAACTTAGATTTCGTAAATTCAATTAATAGAAATCACCTTGACGGCGTCAAGAAATAAACCGCAAAAACTTCCTTATTTTTTTCCTCGCAATTTCTAAGAGGAAAAAAATAGAACAAACGTCCTCAATGAAAAAAATATATAATCTTTTTACATTTGAGCCAAAACAGCGTTTGGCAGAAAATAATGAACATTTTCTAGAAAGCTTTTTCAAAAGTTTCTGTGTTTTTATACTTTATCAGAGACAATGGATTTAAAAAAGAAACTTTGTAATATTGAAGGGTGAATGGAGAACTTCATTCCGAAGAAAAAAACGTTGAAAACAATGCTGGAAAAGAAACGGATAAAATAAAAGAGAAAAGAAAAGAAAAAGAAAAAACACTTGAAAAGGGACAAAGCTCCAAATGACGCTTGCGCGAGGAAGCGCGAGTCTTCAAGTGGTCCTTAAAGGGTTCAGGGTTCGACTTGACAAGGCGTTTTGTTTTAAATCTCTCTTAATCAGATATAAAGCTATTGAAGTTTTAATTTGATTATCAAGGATGCAAAAGAATGAAATTGAACAGTCTGAAAATCACTTGGTTTCTGAAATTAGTGAAATAAAAAACTTAAAAATTAGTTTTTGAATCATTTTTTTAAGGGAACGAGTTGAAAATTCGCAATTTGAGATTTTGCGAGAAAAAAAAGCACTCCAAGCAATTTACATTGATTTTTGTGGGAAAACGTCATTTCCAGACCTGCCAAAACTTCAAGTTTTCCCGTTTCCCTTTGTAATCGGAACAAAAAAAGTCAGGTAAAGCTAAAATTAACTTTTGGAGTATATTGAAGCTAAATAAATGCAACAAACTTCAGGTGACTTTTTATAGGACGATAAAAGGTCTCTTACCACTTCGCCTAGGGTAGAAATGTAACCGAAACTCTTGAAATCTTGACCTAATACGTTGAAAATCGGCTGAATCAATGAATTAGCCGAATGATCAAGATTTTTGGGACAGATTTCGTCCCCCGACCGACTCGTCTCTCCAATCAATAGGTCTTTTAACCTTGACTCATTCTGCTTTTTCGGAATTTTCCGGTGCCGTCCACCTGTTTCGTGTCGATTCGAGTAATTTATTCTGATTCGTTAATTGCTCAGGAATTAATCATTTCCCATTTCCGTTTTCGACAGAGATCTCAGATTGTATAAGTGAGAATTTTATGTTGAAAGTTTAAAATTTTTGAGCTTTTTCTTTAATTTTAAAATGACTTTTCATAGTCATTTCCAAACCCCAGGCTTGAACATTTTGAAAGGAGAACTCTTAAATGACCTTAAATAATAATAATAATAATAATGCTATTTTTCCCTGAAACCATTTCTGAAAATATTCCATGCTCTGAAACACCTTATCAAGGCATTTTCGATGGACTATTTTCGCGATAAGGTTCAAAATTCTCGAAATAAGTTGAATCTTATGAAATATTACTTCATCAAAATCAGAGTTCATTTGGAGGTCTGGTCTTCGATGGGAAATGGAAAAGTCGATAGAATTCTGATTTTTCTCATAAAAAAGTTTCTTTTTTCTAGATTTTTTCTTATAAGTTCATCAAAGATTATTTTCTCCAAGCGTAAATTTATCAATTCTCTACAAAAAACCCCAAAGCTTGGACCAAGAAAGAATAAACTTGCAAAAAAGTGTGTCCCTATCAGTCAGCCAATTAGTTCACGACCTTCAGAACCATTTTTTTTTCTTTTCAATGTTCCCTTTTTCTCGATCTTTCGACTATATACGCGATTATAAACAGCGCCGGAGGGAGAGAAGAATACAAAAGTCAGCGGGGCGCCGGCGGCTTTGAAGACGCCTGCCGAGATATTTCGCTCTATTTTATTTAGACCGTGCAAGGATCGGCTGGGAAACGTTTCTTGGTGAAACTATTCTTCACTTTCTTTAAATTTTATTTCTTTTGCCGCATTTGAAATGGCTTAACTTATATATTTCAAAATGAACCGTTTCGAGTCGGTCGCATTTGACATCAAGCGCTTCGTGGCTGAGCCGTTTCAAATCATGGAAAAATCGAAAGGAAAAACTTATAGTGATACTCGCTTTTAGCCGCATTTGGAATGCGTACCGGAATGGTTCAAAATGCCATGACGCGTGAACCGCTTTGAGTCGGGCGCATTTGAAATCAAGCGCTTCGTGGCTGAGCCGTTTCAAATCATGGAAAAATCGAGTGAAAATTTTTTTTTAGTTTTACTGACTTTTTCGCCGCATTTGGAATGGCTCAATGCGTAGCGGTCGCGTCGCGGTTTGAGTCTGGTCTGAATGATTCATAATGCCGTCACGCGTGAGCCGTTTTGAGTCGGACGCATTTGAAAGTTCGTTTTCTTCGTTGCTGAGTTGTTTTGAATGCGAATATATTCATACAAGACTCAACTGAACGATTTTTTTTCCGTTTTACTGTGTATTTTTCTCAAAATGAATACCTGTGGCCGCATTTGGGCTCAACGCTTAGCGGTCGCGTCGCGGCTGCGTTTTCTGAAAGGCTTAAAAGGGCGTAAACCGTTTTGAGTCGGACGCGTTTTTTTTTTCAGTGAACTGACCTGGCCGCACTTGGAACGGCTCAACGCGTAGCGGTCGCGTCGCGGCTGTGTGTTCTGTATGGTTTCAAAGGGCGTAAACCGTTTTAAGTCGAACGCTTCATGTTTCTTCAGTGAAATGACCTGGTCGCACTTGGAATGGCTCGAAGCGTCGGAGTTAGAATCAGCTTCCAATTTATGACATCCAGTACTTGAAACATTTTAAAGTGCTCTGATAGTTGCGAAAACCGACTTCAACTTGAACTTCAATGGTTGAAAAGCCAAAAAGCTTGTTCCTCCATGCCATTTTCCACTTGTAGACCAATCAAGAGTCTTATGCTTTCTTTAAACTTTACGGTTTTCAAATGTGACGCCGTAAATCTTCCGCATCGCCTTCATTTCCTCCTCATCCCAGCCAACTATCTTCTCCTATCCTAACAGTTATTTGGTTCAGAGCTTCTTCCAGTTTGTCAAAGAATATTTTTGTGAATTTTGAGAATTTTCAGTTTTCCGAGGTTCACAGTGCATTTTAAGTAACCTTTAAGGTGAGGGTTTCATACAGAAAACGCCAGAGTGATTTCTTTAGGGGTTAAAGAAAAACAGCCCCTATAGGAGACAAAAAGGCACCCTTCATAGATGTTAATAGTAAGTAGTCCCTATAGTGATTTAGAGACTGATTCCTGAGCCCCAACAGCTTAAATGGTCCCTATAGGGGTGAAGGGTCTAATCGTGGGTCCCTGAAGCGTAAGTGGTTCCTATAGGGATTTAGGGCCCCTATAAGTAGGGACCGCAGGCCAATTTCCAAAGTCAGTGATATAAAGTTGAAACCTATATGAAAAAGAAAGCTGATGGCAATCGAGAGCTAACTGCAAAAAAACAGAAAAATATGAAAAAAATGAAAAAAAGTTATAAGCAAAAAAAAGTGGCGAAATCGGGGGAACCATTTTTTTGTGTAGAAACTTTCGTCAGGGTCGCAGGAAAAGGGGCGTGTTTATAGATGCCGCGCGCTCCTTGCTGTGCGTTAATTCACGCAGGAGACGTTTCGAAAAACATATTTATCTGAGTTTTTTTAGAAGTTTTTAAATGAAATATTAGAGTTTTTCATATTGAATATTGCTCTTTTTTTCAATATCAGCCTACTCTTCAAGCACTCACGCTGCTGAAAATGCGAGTTTTTGAACAAGGTTTCAATGCATTTCGTAAAAAAAGAAAATAACCGACAAAATAGCCTTTGCGAAGGACGAACAGCATTAAACCGAATTGAAAATGTAACAGTCTACTAAGAAATTTACTGAAAAATATGTAAATAATCACCAAGTCCTTTTTTTCAGAGAGTTTTTTAAAAAAAAAAGGGCGAAAGCGTTTTTACTTTTGATTTTCTACTTCTTTTATTTTTTTCTAAAGTTTGTGCGTCTACATGGAGTGTACGTAAACAATTTTTTAGAATTCTTTACTTGACATTCTGAACAAATTCAAAAAAAGTTGAGTAAAAGCGAAATTTAATACTTTTCTCGCTGCTATAATGGATATAATGATATAGGAAAAAAAGATTCCAATTATGAAATGAGTGAAAAAGCAACTATAAAGCCACAATAAAATGAGAAAAACTTGAATAGAATACATAAACAGTTTAAAAAACCTTCTTCACGCTTTCGAAAAAAATTTCGTGGCCTTCGCGATGTCTGCAGATTTCCAGCGACGCGCAGTTTTTAAAAAAATAACTTTCGAGCGTTTAAATTAACCATACTTTTCGGGCCATCCTAGGAATTTTTTTATTTTTTTGATATGTTGTAGAGAAATGTCTAATGTTTGATATTATGAAATAAAAAAACTTGCCCAGAACGCTTTGGGCCGTTTTCAAAGCGTTACAAAAAAACGGAAATTTTAAGCTTTCATATAAACTATATAATCGATGAAAAACTTAGTTTTCTATTTTTAAAATTTGCAAACAACTGCAAACAACCGTTTAAAAATATAATCAGTAATTATCGATTGCGTTTTTCGAAAATAAGGAATTTCGAAAATCGTGATTTTCAAATTGCGTTATTTTTTGAGGCCAACCATAGAATTTTTTTATTTTTTGCCAGAATATGCGTTTTTAGTTGCTTTATGATGTTCAAGA